CTGAGGTTTAAGGTTAACTTCAGTTTAAACACTTTTATGTACTGTTGGGCTGTCATATGTTTTTAGCATCACTATCTCACGTCACATCTCTCCTGTGAGATTTAGGCTACGTTCACACTGCAGGTTATGATGCACAATTCGGATTTTTTGTTAAATCCGATCTTTTTGTGCGGTAGTTCACATTACGACAACGAATGCGGAATGCATCCGTGAAGTGACCAGCATGCACACAATGCACGAATTGCTTTCCGTGCCTGTTTGTGTTGTTGAAAAATGGTGACGTTTGTCGCATAGTGATGAGGTATAGGTCGGATCTCCATCAAAGACCACATCTAGACTTCAGTGCAACATGCAAAATAGATTAGAAATTTCGATGTCCAAATTGGACCTTTTTTAGACGCCGCTCAGACGTGAAGAATTTGGACGTCATCTGAAGACCAAATCTAGACATCGGCACAACATGCAAAATGGATCTAAGATTTAGACGTCAATATTGGACCTCTTTTAAACATTGAAATGACGTCCACATTTGTACCTCACTGTCCAAAAAGTATGTTAAATAGATGTCATTTCGACATCTGTGGGTATGGTTAAAAAATGAGAATTGACCTGCAGTGTGAACACAGCCTTAGAGACTTAAAGACAGTTCAGTTATTTAAAGTTATAGAGATTTTTTTTTCTGTTTCCCTGGAAAAAAAGGGAAAATAAATAACAACAAATACCAAAATTAAAAACAAACTAACATCTGCATCAGCTATCAGCCAAATAGTTATTTTAAACATCAGTATCAGCCCAGAATTTCACGATCAGTGCATCCTTAGAATAAAAGGATACGGAGGGCCCCATGCCTACCTTTGCCTAGGGCCCCCAAATCCGTAAATCCGCCCCTGACAAGCAGATTGTCAAAACTTCTAGCTGCACTTAAATCTCGAGTTTGGCTGTGATCAGTCCTATCTGAGGAAATGTGACCAGTTTAAGAAGTTGTAAATGCTTTTGGAGATGTTTATTTTTTTCTCTTCAATAGAATCAAAACAAAGACATCACAGGTATTCTAATGCACCCTGCAGCTTATTTACATGAAGAAGCCGTCCTACTCTTTAAGACCCCCCCTGAAAGTTTATTTATACCTCACTCATTTGCGTTGAAAATACCCACACCTTACAATTCATTTCCTTCTCATTATGCAACGTGGTGGATGGGAGATGATGGAGTTGCTGTCCTGTGAGAGAAGGGGAAACCGCTCCATGATAGAGATCTACTAATCTTGTGTTATGCTTATGACGGCGCGAGGAGATCCCCCCCACTCTTCTTCCTCCTCCTCCTCCTCCCTCGCCACGCCACGCGGTCGTCACTCACCTGAAGGAGCCACCGGAGCTCTGCAGGACTCCTCCGTCTGCGTGTCCCGACAATTGGGATTTAGCGAAGGATTAGAGAGGAATATTTCAATTTAGCGTCGGAATTTACCTGCCTGTGCCAAAGTAATTACCTAGACCCTTCTGGGGGGAACAAAAATGCAATTATTGAAAGAGTAAAACACGTACAGGAAAAGGGGGGATATTAGAGGGGTCTGAGACGAATAAACAAGAATGTAGGTTTTTAATGAAAGCAATCAAAGAATGTGGCAGCAGCCAGGCGGAACTGTAAATTTATTATCTAAATAGACAAAAAAAAGAAAGGTGACTGAGCTGGGAAAAAAAGAAGAAAATGCTCCATTTAGAGGTAAACGCTGCAGAAAAATCAAGAACATCTGTGAGTGTTAAAAGACAAAGTCCGTGAAACGAAAGAGGAAAATAAAATCATTTGATACCCAAACATGCCTCTTTGTTTTCACAATAGTGGTGTTTAATAGATTTAGCTTTTTTTCTCTCTTTTTGGTGCGTTCAATGACAGTGAAAGGAATCTGAAATATCTACGTTTGATACGCAGATTTTGATCTTTTAAAGATTAAGACCAAATTTATGGATAATCTGATAAAAAAAAAACACTATTACGAGTGGATCAAACACCAGGCAGGCCTATTTAAAAATAACCTTAAAATATGTTGAATAGTTCCCATTGTGGATAATATCAAAAACGATGTGGTCACGGGTGAAATAATGTCTTGGATGATTATTTTTGGAGATAAAGTAAAAAACAAACAATAACTGTTTTAACCAGATTTTGTCGACTAAAAGCAAACGTCACTCTACTTTGTTCTTTTTAAAGTTAAATCAACATTTTTGATTCTGCGAAATGTAAATAAAAATGCCCCTTTTATTCTTTTTAATACGTTTACGCATCTGAATTTAATTTTCTCCATCCGCTTGAAACTCAGACTGGTCTGCACTGGAAATAAAAGAGAGAAAATAGTCCACACTTCTGCCTGAGTTCGTCTCTGTGATGCGTTCAGGTGCTGTTTTTTCAGAGTGAGAAGGCCCTGACTACAATAATACTCTGCTCATGCCTTTGAATTCGTTCTCGCCAAGTGCGCACAGTCCAATGTGCGCGCCTCCTTTACTGATTTAGTTTGTTTTAATGTGTAAATGCTCTGAATGAAAGCTCAGATCTGAAAGGACAGTCTGGGGAAGTGAAGGCTCTTTTAATCAGATGAACAGTGTTGGGCACAGAGTACGGAGAGCTTCTGTAAATACATCCAGATTCTCTCTTGCGCCACATTATCTCTCCGCCACTGCTCATTCACTTTCCCTTTTATCCTCATATGAAAAGGAAGACAAACATCTGCACCTCCGTCCACTCTGAGATGCAGAGAGGACGACACGGAGGCCCTGTGTGGGTATATCCCGTGTAAACAGGGCCCTGTGCATTGTGTAATGAGTTGGATTAGCCCCTTTGCTTTTGTTGCTCGTGGTGTGTACACACACGGACACTGATTCAGCTCTCTTAAAGCCAGTTTGGCCCTCACGACTTTAAGGAAGTCTGACTGTCTCCAACCTGCTGCCGTGGGTCATCAAAAGAGAGAGAGAGAGTGGGGCTATTCTAGGAGTAAACTGCATTCATCCGTGTATGTGTGTGTGTGTGTGAGAGAGAGAGATAGATCAGGGTTTGTTTGGCGAGAAAAAAAACACAGTCCAGTCTGAGCGTCAGCTGCAGATTAAAAAATAAAATAAAATAAAATAAAAATAAATAAATAAAGAAGGGTTTCAACTTTTCATATCGTTTTAAAAACAGTAACAAAGACCTTTAAGCATTAAATCAGAAGGAGTTTAAAAACGACAAATCAAGACAAACCAAAGATTGATCAAAGTTCAGTGGGATAAATAAGGGAGTGTGAAAAAAACACCCACTCTGCCCACTCCTTACAAACCCTTCGTATGAGTGCACACTTAAAATATTAACATTTGCACTTATTTCTTCATCATTATAATATTTAGACTAATTGAATCAAATAATCTCAATGTATGTCGAATCATTAAAATGTTGTTTCAGCTCTTTTTGTGTCACCAACACTGCGGGTCATCTGAGTGGAGACGTGTGCGCCACGGACACTTGGCACCATCACCTCAGAGAATTAAGACTCAACTTTAACAGTGCAAACTTTATAGCTCGGGGTCCATTGTTTTATTCAGTTGTTTTTATCCCTAAATAAATAATAATAATGAAAAAAAAACTTTATTTACTCTCTGCTCTTCTGCTTCTCAGAACATGAAACGCAGGAGATCCTATGAAGAAAGAGGCAACTTTATGAAATCGGACAGCAATTAAACCGAACACGGAAATGATCAAACATCAGGACGCTTTGATCAGAAAAAGTGACTGAAACAGCTGTTTGGGGAGGGAAAAAAACAGACTCGGTGTGGATTTGTGTTTGAGAAACAGAGTGACCAAAGTGGAGCAGCTCGGAGGCCTGCAGGCCCTCACTGTGGGACTGAGGCTTTTGTCATTATTCATCCACCTGTAGCATCCACTCCACTGCTGCGCCTAGAGAACAAATTAAAGACTTTTGTTGTGAGTTTTATAAACCTGACAATGTCGTGGATAATTTTTTAAAAATTGTTTATCAAAAGTTAGATTATAATTTGCTCCTTTTGTCCAAAATGAACCTTTTTAGGACTGTTTTGTTTTTGGAAAGCAAAGCGCATCAAACTGTATCCATGTGCGTCATTTCGATATCAAACCTGCTGGATACATATTCTCATTTTATTGCGCTTTTTGTTCTTGCACGCTTTAAATATCCTAGTAAAACAGTCAAATTATCCACATTTTATTCAGAGAGTGGTAGAAATATCTCGATTGATAGAGAATGACTCGTTTATTTGGTGCGTAATTGTCCATTTTTGGAGCTCGACTGGACAACTAAGTCATAATCAGGATTTTAAAATACTGAAATCTCGCCCTTTAGAGAAAATAAGACGCGCACACTGACTTTGATTAAATATTTACAAACAGGCGAGTGGAATCATGGCGACTTTTTCAAAGACGATAGAGTTTTATTTGTTTCTTTTATCAAACGACCCTCAATAGAATGGCCCTCATGGTCTTCAGTGATGGCTGCGTTATGAGCTCCTCCGACAAAAAAAGCAACTATAGCGAAGGTTTCTAACTCCTCATAGAGACAAAACAAAAAGTAAATAACATCAACTTCATTAAAAAAGTTTTCCATCAGTATCTGCATCCAGGAATCTGCTTTTATTATCCTGTTCAAGCGCACAATCATGGTCCTAGTTTCTATGTGCACAGATGGTTATTAAAAGTGGATCTCCCTATCTTTACATGTGGTTCAAGGTTTTAATTATACAACACTCCCTCTTTGTGTTTGTGTGAGGCAGTGTGTCTCACTATCCGCTCCTCGGAGATACACACACTCTTGTCCCACAATCTGGGGAAATCATAGTATATCAGATATTACTTCAAACACCATATGAGCCACTGATGAAAAAAAAACTTTAATTATTAATCTTGGGAGCCTATATCTGTGCTTTATGGAAAAACATTGAACTTTTTACATTTAAAAAAATGTCTGTTTTCTTTCCTTTAGGGGGTCCGGTTAAAATGTCCAGAGGATGATAACCTGTAACAGATGTCCCAATCTGGCGCAGGAGTCATCAGCTGTAAGCGAAGGTGAGTTATGAGCATGTGAATGATAGCTGAGTGCATGTGGAGGTGAAGTAAGCATAGATTTATTTTTTTAAACATATTAAGCTTAAAGTGAAGCTTTAAGTTCAACCAATGACAGGGGATTGTGGGTAATATTTGAAACAGAGTCTTACTTAAAGTCTTGATTGAATTCTTTATTTACAGACAAGATCATTCAATTCATTGTTTTTTGTCTACATGTCTGATTTTACAGCATGTGTGTGTGGAGTTAATTGTGCCTAATTGTGTGTGTGTGTCCAGGAATGTGCGCGCTCGTCATAGTTGTCTTTTTGTCTGTGTTTGTCTACGCACCCATGTGCCAACGCTCATGTGTGCCCATATGTGGTTGTGTGAGCGCTCCACCGTGTGTGTGTGTGTGTGCCCATGTGTGTTGTATGCAGCCTATTAGTGGAGTTTAACCCCTGTGTTCAGGGAGTCACATCCCCTCAACACACCAGTCTCCATTCTAACAGCAGCAGCAGCACGTTAACATTTTACTCTCCTCCCTCCCCACACACCCCCTTCACTTTTGTCCTAAGAGGGCAATTAAGGAAACAAACGTTTTCCCCAAGATAAGCTGGCTGCCAGCTTTGCATACTAATGCAATGCCAAGTGGTTACAAATAGTGAGTGCTCTAATTACCGGCACTGTTTTCAATCAGAAATTGCTCAATTTCCCAGGATGAGGTCTCCATGGCTGGAGAAAAAAAAGCTCAACCTGACAGAGGCTGGAGACAATCATCTCTACGTGGAGTGTGGCTGATTTTTATGCGCCTGTGTGGCACAAGTATTGGTGCAAAAAAAGCTCATCTGCTATCCTGTGTGTGTGTGTGTGTGTGTGTGTGTGTGTGTGTGTATACACCCTGGCACAACCCTCTCTATCACTGCTGCCCTTGACGAGTCAAGAAATGGATCCTGTCAGCCTCTGCAGCATTTAGCACCGCAATTATCCCCTTTTCACAGCGCCGCTGCATTAATGTAAACCACACCAGGCTACTTAGTGATGAGCACAATGTGGTGCACCATCTCTAGGCGCGCAATTTGATGCAATTGTGTTGCCGTGTGATCATCAGTGCAAATCAGGGCCTGCCTATTTATTAAGCAATTTCGTTTGGGGAAAATTAGAAGGAAGGTGCTTTTAATTTGGCGGAAGATAGTAATATCTCTAAAAGCAACATAATGTGGCTGACATCAAACACAAAAAAGGAGATTTGAGTGAGTTTTGCATTCACCAACCTATCAGGGAGGGGTGTGCTATTCTGAGAAGAGTGGCAGTGGCCATGAGCAGGGGGGGCAGCACAGACCAAAGTGACAAGGACTCACTCCGTAGGATGTGCACACAGGACCCATCCGTTGGCCTTAGCTGACCTTTAACTCTGACAGTGGCTAATGGAGGGCTGGCCCTCGATCAATGCACTGAGAGACCTGGCTCCCTGTCTCTGCCCTTTTCAACCGGGGCCAGGAAGAAGGGAGGGATGCTGCCAGAAGCCACGCCGCGGATCCATCGACCCCGCCGCTCTCCCATCCTGCGGGGTGACAGCTGCAGTGCCAATGAGCCTGGGGACACCACGCTGCCCTGCCACGTAGGAAGGACAGCCAGTAACTCCATCACTGTGATGGAGGAAGGGAGGGACGTCACTGATGATCTGCTCGTGAATGTCACACACATGGAAAAGGCTTTGGTGTGGAGTAGATGGCGAAGTGTCGGAAAACCTTGTCTGTTGCCGCCTTGAGCTGCTTTAGGTATCAGTTTGTTGTTCCCTGGTTCAGAATTTTACTTAAATCTGTTTTAATATGACTCCACTCTTGCCGTTACATTAAGAGACAACTCGCTTGCTTCAGTTGGGTTGGATAGTTCGTCCAAAAGTCAAGAACTTCTGTGACTTTTGACATCAAGTAGTCAAAGTCGATCAACAAAGCCTCACTCCTCCACACCCCTCAGCAGATCTCAGAAGTTGTGTTTACATTTCGAGTGTTCTTGGCATTTGTTGTTCACTTAAAAACCTTACCACGGGGAATATATTCCCCTTTTTCAGCACAATGTTCCTAAGATGCGCCTGATGTTGCGTTTGCTGCTTGTAACCCAGATGGCGCACCACTGTATACCTTTCATCAGAGCTGCCTTTTGTCAGGGAACAATGCTTGCATAAAAAAACACAAAACAATATTTAGTGTGCATCTCAATTGCAGAATCCTCAATTCAAAGATCCAAAACAATGGTGGATAAAACACTCCTTCCATATGGGAGAGAAGAGAGGAAGACATGCGAGAGGCTTAGAGCAGATTGTTCTTTTTATTATCATTAACAGTAATGTGATTCTGAAGCCCCTTGTGACCCCCGCACAGCAGCACCTCATCTCAGCAGTCATTCATTAGAACAAACAGAAGGCAGGCAGAGAGACAGCCAGAAAAGGAGACGTGGGGAGAGAGCAGAGTGTAAAATAAATTAGATTGTTCTTATTACATGAACCAGTTTTCAGATGGTAAAAAAAAAAAAAAGAAATCGGAAATTCAAAAGGACATCTGCAAGTACTGCATTCGGAGATGAAGATGTCATGGGAAGCCCGTGATCCAGTTGTTGGGTCTTGTGCTCTGTGTGTAATCACAGTTACACTTACTGTCCACTTTGGATTGTGAGGCCTGCAGGGAGCCGTGAAATATGGGCAGTGTGTGAAACAGGCGCGTGTGCGTGTGTGTGAGCGCGTGGATAGAGATTTAGTTCTAGTGTTTCTGTGGACTGATGCGAGCTGTGGTGAAACTAATCAAAAAGCCTCTTATGCCTTCTTCCTCTGATATAAATGGATTGTACTGTCTTTCCCTGATGATTCGGCGCAGTGTTTACTGAGTGGGATATTTTACACCAGAGTGACAGTAAAGGCCACCTCTCTCAATTAAGCCCCCCTGGCTCTTTTTCCTATAAGAGCAGGCCTTTCTTCATATCACCCCCCCTGGTGCTCCTTATCTCTGCAGGCCTGTGGAGTAAAGGTCCAAATCACCCACCTCCATACATGCTAATGTGGATGTACACATATGTGAGGATGAAGTAGCAGAGTTGGACACAGAGCGGTGGTCAGGGGCTCTGTTTGGGCTGGGGCGACAGAGGATGAGGAGGAGATGTGGGGTGGAGGGAGGTTTGCGTGCGTGTGTGTATACGGGGTGTGGGGTGGTGGTGGGGGGGTTGAAGCGAGCCGTGTGGATCCTTGGAGTGGTGTGACAGACTCCCCAGCCTCCTGGTAGGATTTGTTGGAATGTGAGAGAGGAGGATTTTAGCACCAGGCGAGCCACGCCAGAGTGCTGCAGACTTCATGCCATCTGTCTCAGCCTCCATCGTCTCTTTGCCAAACTCGTCAGACCTTTATTTCCTCTCCCTCCAGCTCCTTCTCATCCCTGTTCACAAGAGGAGCGGACATACTGAGATCTGCTAATGTATTGGAGAGGGGGGAAAATGGCTGGGCTTAATAGATGGATTCAGAAAATCCTCGATTGATTAACATGTATTCTTGGAGCTGATTGTCCGACAGCCCTCGCGGAGATAAAATGTGTGTTCGATAGCCCTGCCATTTGTTACTTGACCAACAGGGGAAGAGAGAGAGAGAGAGTTATTCATACCATAGCAGCTCTGTTGATCGGCTATTAATAAAACATGTTCCACAAAAAGCCAAAAAGTTGACGAAATTTCAAGCATTTTTACAAACTATTATAAATAAACTGCTGTTGGTGAGTTTTGTGCACTAAATTTCTCATGGATACACCAATCTACCTGCTGCCTGCCAGTCCATGTTACCATTATGCCCTTTTTAGGTCATGACAGAATCAAAATCTCAAACCAAAATGTTTAATTGAGTTATTTAGATGGAATTAAGTCTTCACCCTCTTTCTGTAACCTGCTCCAGGGTGGAAGAAACAGAGGCCCTAGGTGGCCGGAAGTGGGCAGGAAGCCTTTGACACCAACCCCTGGTCTGGTTTTGGCAATCAATCGGGTCTTGGAATATCAGAAAAGGTGAGCCTGTTAACCCCAGAGGACCTGCAAGACCATGCAGATCTGTTATGAGTGGGAAGGAGGGGGGGAGTGTAGTCACCACTGCTCCCAGTCTTATCACAGCTCAGACAGCCAGAGTCAACTGGCTGCATCCTAACTAGCAGGCAAACACTGACAACAGTCTGGTGCACCGGCAAGATGGACGGGCACGTTTGTCACATGGTTACTTTGCAGGATGCCACCAAAACAGTGTGGAAAACATTGCATAATGTGTATGAGAACATATACATGCAAGTATGATATATGTGACAATTTACAGAATACAGCCACAGATCGCATTTAAAAAAATAAAATTAAAAAAAAACTTGAGAAACTGCTGCAGAAGTTGTGGGCTGAAACTATAATGCAACAACAGAAAACAAGATTCAGTGATGTTATTTAACAGCGAGAGGAAAGAAACATCAAAAAGGAACACATACACCACAGACAACGCAGAAAATTAAATCAGCAGATGTGATCGTGGGGAGCTGCTAAGTGCTAAATTGCAGACATTGCTTTGAAATTGGTGGAAAGAAGAAAAAAAAAAAAGAGTTAATACTGAGCAGCTATTGTGAGCTTTGGGATGCCTGTAACACTAACATAAAATATCCTGTTAGAGAGATAAAATAATGAGTGAAATCAGAGAGAAATCTGTGTTCTAAGTGGGTTTTATGTGTCTCTGAATCAGGCAAACAATTCACAGGAACTGAGTTCAGCTGGAGGGACATGATGAATCTGCAGCCTGCTCCAGGATTTTGTGTTTCGTCCAGCTTTGCAGGAGGTGAGTGCTATCAGTGTCTTTGCGCTCATCCCTCTGTTTCTGCAGGATGTTTGCTGTACACAACATGCAAGCAAACACACATGTGCACACACTTAAATGCACAAACAGAAACTCTAATCCTGACCCCCCCACTCTCTTTCTTTTTCTCTCTTCTTCCTCACTCCACTTCCCTCCCCGGGCATGGAAATGAAAGCTGGGCACTCGGAGTGTACGGTTGGGAGAAATGAAGACGTGTCTGATTTCCACGGCAGCCAATGGCGATGCAGCGCTCCCGACTCTCTGCCCTCTGATAGGTCTTTGTCGCTCTCTTCATCTCAGAGGCCCCCGTGTCATTCCCTCTAATCCCCCCTCTCCCCTCCCCTCCAACACCACCACCACCTTCCCAAACACAAACAGGCCAATCCAGAGACTCAGCTCAGGGGCCGGGGGAGGGATGAAGAAGGCTGAGGCATGGCAAAGGAGAGAGGGATGTAGTTCAGGAGGAAAGAAAAAGGAGCACCAGAAGCTGGTGTTTGGTGTGAGAGAGAGCCTGTGTGTTATTATTAATAAAGCATTAAAAAAAGTGAGCACATCAAAGCATACAGGGGCTATGCTATCATACATGAAAGTGATGCACTATGGCTTAATGTTTCCTAAGGCGTGTTATGGTGACGCTGCTTTGATTTGAAATGCATTGTGTGGAAAATGGATTTACAGGAGTGGGGAGAGAAAGCCTGGTGTGGGTGCAGACCATAATTCAAAACCTGACCTCATAGGCTCTTCAAAGTCTCTGTGAGTGTGAATATGTGGGACTTATGTACCGTCATGTGCCAGACCTAAACCGCAGCAACAAACACATACATGTGCCGGAGATATGAAGGACACCTGTGAGAAAAGAAAATGAGCAATTACTGTCACACAAAATTAAAAAGGCATAATCTTACATTCTGATCATTAGCAATGATTGGAACTAATTTTCAATTTTTCATTTCTTGTTACCTGATTATAAAGCACATCTTTCTTCTTCTTCTTCTTCTCCTTCGATGACGGCCCGCAGGAAGAGAGAGACATCATCCTCATCATTCCCCCGTGGCCAGGTAATTATCCTAATCTACCTTCCTCCTGTGCTGCGGCTCCTGTGCCATGCTGGCTCAGACCACCTCTGTGGCTTCATTATCAGCGGAGGGACTCGCTAATGGCTCCACGGCCTCGCTGTGCAGGCTGCTGGCAGAGACACACCATGAAGGAGGAAAAGAAGAATAAGAAGAAGAGGAAGAAGGAGGAGGAGGAGGAAAATTAGACGCTAAAGAGGAAGATGCTGCCCTGAAGGTTAACATCTCAGACGTGAGGGACAGTAATGGTGAGACCAACAGCTCACTCAGAAGAAGAGGCACTAACCCAAGTCAGAAGATCATCTCGAAATGCTCTCTCTGGGGGCAAAATAACCACGACACGTGTGTGTGTGTGTTTGAGGTAACAGGTTGTCATGTCCTCATGTGCGTCCCTTACACACCCCCACCTTTCGTGTTTGCAACACATATAACCTCACAACATACAGACGGACTGGGGGTGGGAATTCAGTAGTTTTTTCTCTGATAAATGACACCCTGACAGTTGGAAAAAATGTTGGGGTCCCTGAACAGATTTCTCAGTTACAAAAATAAAATGTGTTGGAGTAGACAAAGACAGACATTTTTACATTCTACTTTTGAACCCCAATGAGAGCACTGACAAATGCCACCCCACCCCCTCTCCGTCTGTGCCATGATTGTTTTTCCCTCTCCAGAAATGTCATATACTTAAGAGGTGATAATTCTATATGGCACAAACAGACACTGGCTTCTTCCAAGTGTACATAGCATATAGGCTGACACAGATTGAGATGGTGCAACATGTCTTTGCATCACTCTAAATAACCATGAGGGCTTCACTCACTCTTTAGGTTTCTTGGAGACTCCAGTGGAAACTTTTCAAAATGGAAGAGAAACTCAAGCGCAGGGTATGAGAAGTGAAAGAGATACCAACTCAGATGTTAAATTTACTGCAGTTTAAGTGATGTGTGAAATAAATAGAAAATCTCCCGTGCCTGTGTAGGTGTAGCGGCCTACATGTGGAAAACGGCATTAATAAACAGCGTACCAAACCCCCTGAGAGCTGGTGTTAACATATTCAGTTTGGTTGGAGCAACAGCCAACAGATCATATGTTAAATACATATTTAAAAAATGCTGATTGACGCCAGTTTGAGCGAGCTACTGCTGCTTTTTTCTGCTTCCAACTGTTTTACGAGCATCGCTGTCCAGATTTTTCATAATGACATGTAGATGTAGTGTAAATTTAGCATGTTTTAGTATTTTCAGGATATATATTTATATCTAAGGATGAGCCTTTCCCGGTGTTTAAGTAAGCAGTATAACTTTTCTATAGGTGCCAGTACAGCGGACTGCACTCATATTTGATGCTGAAAAAGTGAAGGTGGGTTTTATAGAGGCATGTCCTCTCAGTGAACTGAATCATCTGTAACTGAGCAGATGGAGCTAACTCACAGCAAACATTTACCAAAGTTTAGCAGCAATGGAAGCCAATATTAGTTCTATATACAGATCATAGACTGTATATACTGTGGACAACTTGGTTCCGCCTTCCGCCAGTTTACAGATTTGAAGCCAAAAAGCTCTCAGTAATTATAATTCGCGTTTTCTCTCCACTTCCTGAAACCAACAGTGTGCAGTAGCGTTGTACGCTCTCCACCACTTGCATTGTACACATTCGGCAGGAGAGTCGCCAAGAGTCGCTGTGATGACGCTCGGCCCAAACGGCGTATCCCCCGGGTGAGCTACGCAATCTTCGTACACCCACAGGCTGTATCAAGTGTTAATCATAGAAAACATGAACCCCCTAATAACTTTTAAAAATGGACAGAAAAAAGAGGACTTGAGCACAAAACAGTCTTACAATAACTACATGTCAACATCTTAAGCAGGGGGGAATTTGTGTTCTGTGTAATAAATTTTTTAAGTTTGTCCACAGCTCCATAAGCTTTGCTGGTGGAGGCAGGATATATGACCTATACTGCAGCCCGTCACCAGAGGGCGCTGTTCTTGGAGTGGCTTCACCCAGCGAGGAGGCAGACACTGTCCATTCTATATACAGTCTATGGTACAGATGGAGGAAAAATGTTAAAGATTGTGATGATTTTGGCGCCCCCTGTGGACAAATCAGAACCTTGTGCCTGAATGAATTTGTCCTGTATGTGTACGTCTATTATTGACATAAAAGTTACTCCCACAAAAATGTAACACTTATTTGAAAATTTTCCATGGTCGGTAGCACGCAGGTGAGCAACTGACACCTACCCCCGTCAGACATGTCCCATTACAGAAATAATCAGTCATGTCACAGATGGTTTAGTTTACATTAGTAGGTCAAAGACAGGCAGCAATATCCATTTCAGTCTGTTTCATAAACACATAAAAACTCCTTACTGTAGCTTCAAGCAGTGACTTTTGAGATAAAGGGCAAGTTCACCCAATCTAGATTAAAGCCAGATACATCTCTTATCTCAAAAAAAATTTATTAGATTAAACTACAGTGAGGTCTTGATCAGTAACAAGAGATGCCATTTTTGTTTTCTTAAAATGTAAATCAAATTACATGTAACTTCTTTACACTGGTTGGGAGATATTGTGAATATGAATACCTCAAAACGTGGCCAAACTATATCAGATCCCACAGCATAGCAACATATATGGTTATAACATAATTTCTGTTTGGGTAACTATTTCAATAAAAGCAGAACTGACTGGTTTTAGCACTGAGAAGTGGTCACAGACTGGATCAGATGATCAGGAAGGTTCTCGTGCTATAAAACAAAACAGTACCCTATACCAGAAGAAGCCCTGGGCGAGGGGGTGGAGTGCCTCTTATTAAATATATGTTTAAAGCTCCTATGAGGAGTTTTTTGATGTTTATGAAATGGTCTGAAATTCATACTGATGCTTTTTTATGACAAATAAAACCAAACAAGCCCAACAGTACTGAGATTGACAATCCTTATATTGTAACTTTTAATGCCCTAAATGCAACAACAACTGACACAAACTAAAAGTTCCTCACAGGAGCTTTAAAAAGAATATAGATAAAAATATATATATTCATAGGGCTTAATATTAGGAAAATAAAAGGGGTCTATACAGACAAATAAAATGCTCAAGATGCTTACCACCAACATATACCTTTATGAATACCGTTAATATCTTTTTTACAGGAGGCTCAAAGCTCTGTGGCCATTTTACAGACATCAGTTCCAATTAATCATAAAAACGTCTGTTTTACTAAAACATGTTAGTTTTCTCACATTCTAAGTAGTAAATAATTCTCTGTTTCACACATAGAAAAGCTAATCCAATGAAGTGGTTTTGTCAGAAGTTACTGCCCCCCATACTTCCCAGTAGAAACGCAGTTAGACATTATAGTAAACTTATATGGTACACCAAACTATAGCTCACCGTCAGTGGTCGTTTTTATGTGAGTCTGGCTGTTTAGGCAGCTTTTGGAACATTAAAGTGGTCCCATGAGCTGAAAAGACGAACTAAAATGCCACACTTTAGGACAAGCACAGGAAATCTTCGGGGAATAAAAAGACAGAGGGGTGTTTGAGATGGTAGATGGAAAATCTAAGCTTCTGTGCGAAAACTTTCCTTACTCAGACTGCTGGGAACTGAGCTCTGCAGTGTTCCCCCACTGCTGCTGCTACTGTAGACTTAAAAAGTGTGGAAACAAAAATGAGTGACAATCTGTATTTCTAAGAGATGCAGGTTTGGCCAAGCAGGCAGCCCAGGTTTAAGACAGATCTGTAGCCCTTTGCTCTCTCCCTGTTTCCTAATTTATTCTCACGCCAAAGCCAAAAAATTATCCAAAGAAAATGTCAAAACACAATAAGAGAAAAGCAAAAAGAGCAAATGTACAGTGGTCTTTGCTATGTAATCTCACCTGAGATATCTTACAGGTTGACCTATATTAATTGTGAGGATCTTTTAAAACTGTTAGCACTACCAAGGACAAAAGCACTGTTGACAGCATCTATTTACCCAAGAACTTAACTGATCTAAAGACCTCTACAACTATGTTTTTATCAGCTGTATGCCAGGAAAGAAAAGATGTAGCAGTTACAAACACATACAGCATCAATATACTTATTAAAAAATGGTCTCAGAAGAGTATAAAGAGTATAAAGTACTTTTTAGGACCCCCACATCTGGTGAGCACATAAACAGGTGATTTGAGGTGACAGTTGATGTGCATGCTCAGGACTCAGAGGGATATTAATACAACCTCCTCCCCAACAATGTTGTCAGACTCTGATGGCGCATACATGCAGCTCTCAGAGGGGCAGAACTCTGTGTGGGGTTTGGTTCAGACAAGCATGAAGAAACACTTTATTTTTTTTGTCAGGGGGTAACATGATGATACTTGATGCTTTAACTGTCTTTTTGTGTAGGATTCTGAATCTGAGGCATGCCAGGCCTATAAATAAATATGCTAAACTGGGTTCTGGAGGGTAACTGGGATGGGGAGGAGAAAAAAAACTCTTCAAATGTTTCTTTTTTCTCGTGCTTTTACTTTGAGGGGAGTTCTTGAAAGTGAGAGAAAAAGGGACCTTTTTTTTGTCCTTTCAGGGTCATAAGTCTGCCTCACACTCTCTGTAGTAGATCACAACCTTTTGTTTATCATCCTGTATCACTTTCCCCTGCGCTTCAGGTCTAGTGCTGAGCAATGCCACAATATAGCCTTGAATGTCTGAATATTGTGAGGTAATGAATGTAACACTTGTCAGTGTGTTAAGTGTATGCAGAGGAGGATACAGGCAGATGAAGGCAGAGGTGGGACCGTTTCTTCACAGTACCTTTCACATGTAACAACCCAAAGCGTAGTCACTTCCATAAACGGATCATGGAGGGATGCAAAAAAGGAAAAGAAAAAAAAAAAAACATCTTCTGCAGCTTTGCTTTGACAAACCAAAATAGGCTCCAGCTAGTAGGACGAGTGTTCCTCACAAACAAGCATCAGTATAACAGATGAAACATGGGTTTTCTTCTCTCTAAAGTGCGCTGAAATGTACACAAATAGCACTCATGCAGAATATAGTTGGCAAAACACTGTCACTGAAAGTGTTTTGCACTATTTTGATTAATTGCAGACTGTGTGTTTATGTGTGCTTTTACAGAATTGTGATATAGTTGCTAAATTGCTGCTGACATGTTGTGAAAGGTGTCTTTGACTGGAAGCAACAAAGCCACTGTAGCTCATAGAGAGTGTTTTACAGTATATTTTTAGTTTATGGGATATGATTGGTTTATCATTAAAATACAGTGCATGTGAGGGTTTATCGTTAACTTTTATAACAGTAGATGTACAAATAATGTGATTTCAATTTTCTGCTTCTGGCTCTTCCCATGAGATTTTCAAGGTGTTGAAGCTTTTGATCACAAACATCTCAGTCCTTCAAGTTCAGTTCAGATTTCTCATTTATTTTCTCACATTGCAGCCAATTCCTCGACTCATTCTTGTCTCGAAAACCAATGTTGGAAACTTGAGTCACCTTGTTTTCCCTTTGGTAATCGCTTAGCAGATGCACACTCTTTAAATGTCATTGCAGCTGTAAGGGCCTATGTCCACTGACATCCACAGACAGTGCTAATTGTCGATACAAAACCAGTGTTCAACATTTTTCACCCTCCAAAGCACAAAAACACTTTCCTTATAAGGTTTTTTTGTTATCTATAAAATGTTGAATAAGTAGTGGGAAGAAGTTTTAAAAACACATTTACTTAAAGCTCCTTTGGGGACCTTAGTGTTGATCTCGAAATGGCGCCCCCTGTGGACAAAGCAGTACTAGTTTCTTTGTCATGGAAAATGTTAAAGGACTATTCCAGAAATTTGCAGTCACTATCCAGCACCTGTAGTCCACTAATTAATACTTACAGTTTTTGTTTCAAAACCAGCTCAAAACTCCTCACAGGAGCTTTAAAAACTAAACAGAGTTAGAGTCAATAGGTACCTTGTCATTTCTGGAAAAAAATTACACTTTCATATAAAGAAATTATTGTAATTTTAGAATTTTTAAAGCTGTGCCACATTGTGTAAACACAGGCTTATACAGGTCTTACAAAGTATGATGTAGTGTGATGGATGAACTATGAGTCAGTCAAAAAAGTAATTAAAACCTGCTCCACTTCCATAAAATACCAGATTTAATGCATCTTACATCATGTTGCATCAGCAGTTATTATCTATTGGTATGCAATATGTCATTATGAAACTCACACTTTTCAGCATAACAAATACTTTCACTTTTAATGGACTTATCTGAGTATTATTACATTGTACAGTCTTTTCTCAACAGTTAATCACAACAACAAAAAATCTATTTTCTGTGTTAATACTAAATCAGCATATGCAAAAGGTCATTAAAAGAACTAGGTTTCACACTGCTCTTTTGTCCAAGTTGTCATAGTATCTCTGAGTCGATGTGCATTTTTAAAGAGGATGTCATTGTGACACTATTTTCCTCTTGTACAAACTCAGATAAAATACTAAGGTTTCAGGAGAGGAAACATTCTGAGAAGTGTTAGATGTTGAGTAAACCCAGATCAAAACAGAGCGAGGTTAGTCAACTCCTGTTGACCCGTTCACGCTGAAAGAAAACTTGTTTATTTCTCCTTCATTGCTACAGTGTGAAACCGTCTAAACCCGCTGTGATCCCTGTCTTACACAGTGTGCCAGGTGTGCTTTTAGCTTCAAGAGGAGACTGTTAGTCAAACAATGGGAGAGCATTAAAACATGCCAATAGAGCAATATTAGTCAACAGCCTGAGTCAATACACCCCACTGGGCTGCATGTCTACCTACAAACACAAGCAATTGCTTTAGAAGGCCTCTGCACTGGATAGAAACATCAATTACAGTAAATTACACCAAAACAGTGTGTAACACTTCAATTTGTTAAAGCTCCTGAGCTGTTTGGGCTGTTTTGGATGAAAGCAGAGCATAGCACTAGGGTAAGATAACATTCAATAGCCCTGAGATACATTGCCCTATCAATCCTGAGTGCTGAATAGAGTGAGGGAGTTATTTACATTTTCATCCCTGGGACTTACTTCGAAAGCTTTACTAAGAAACCAGATCAAATTATCCTTTTTCCTGTGTGCAGCCTAGTTTCTTTAAACGTAGACTTTGAAATAAGAGCACTCTGTGGCAACCACATGACTCTAAAAATCCGCATAAGCTCCACTGTGTGCCCGTTTTTCTGTTGGCACTGGCACTTTAAGAAAATAAAAGTAAAAATTTCCATTAGGAAGAAGTTTGAAAAGTTGAACACATTTGCAAAAACAAGGTTAAAGGCAATTTATGTGTTTATTAAGGCTTTTATTTCAAAGTCCCAGGACAGAGGTTGATAAATGCTGCAGTAACACGACATGAGACAAAGGAAACAAAAGATAAAAACACCATTTTAGTTCACAGAATCACTTCCCTGCAGAGAGAAAAACACAAATGACAGCCTACAAAAGGTAGCAAATCTGCTCTGAAACCAAAAATGTCCAATTTCTACTAAACTTTGTAGTGCTTCAATGACTTCCATTGCTATGGTTGATTATCCAGGAGGGGTGTTGGTTGCTGGGGACAGATGAAGATTTGGCTGTTTGAGGGAACATTTTAGGAGGGAGGGGGGGGGCTGGAGTAAATGAAAGACAAATGCGAGAAGTGCCCACTCAGCTATTTTCCCAGTCAAGATCAAAGGCACGCCGGACTGGCCGCTCCACGGGAAACTTGAGATGGGTCCTGCCTTTGTTTGCTGTTGCTAGGAGACCTGCAGAAGGCTGAAAGTGTTTGCAGTGGGGTACAACATCAAAACCATTTCCAATATAAATTTTTAAGACAGCCATGTATTTGTGTCCCGGGCTTTCGATTTACAGGACACAAAAAGTGACTCATTCCTCTGTTAGTCATGGAATCAGTTCAGCTGTGTTTGTTTAAAAAGAAAAGTCATTACGGAAAATTACACATGCAGGCATTTTAAACGGCGCTTGACAGTAGTTTGAAAATTATGTGTAGTATCAGTGCTTAAGTGTTGCCATGTTGATGCCCTAACTATATCCACCAAACAGCCGTAAAAGCCAGATTAATACTTTTTTTTTTTGGCCCGGTGTAGGAGCACACAGCATGTAAACAATTTAAATATAGTTTGATATATTTATAAAGCTCAGCTCCAGCTTCCCAACGAAGCTAATTATGATGCCGCTATGTATTAATGGGCCCCATGATAGTTAGGGTGGCTAGACATGTGTCACAGAGAGCTCATTACATATCATTAGTTCAACACTCCAATAATGTCTACACCTGCTGAGCGGCAGATAATGACTTGGCCCCTGATATTTGCAGAAGTATTGTCTACTGAGTGAAGCACCACCAGGAGGATAGGTGCACAGGCTGGAGAGCTGCATGAAAACTGATAAAGCTATACAATAAGGGAAGAGGCATACTGTTTTATTTGTTGTACGCTACAGTAAATGTGGCGCAGTAAAAAAAGAAATCAGCTTTTTTCCACAGGATGGGGGAATGAATATAACTCATTCATTAAAAAAAGAAAAAAAAACATGGCAAGCCTCCCAGCTATCATCCCACTATCTGTAAATAAAGTTATGGCTCAATATTATGTAGAGGTATTACAAGCAAATATATCCAGTGACCTTTGACCTTTTTTGATGTCTGCTTACTTACTCTAATTAAGCTTGTAAAATTACTGTTTTCTTGGTCAATGGAGTGGCTCTGGCCCTCTCGGAGTTACATAACACTGCTCCGAACATGCATGAATAACTTGACCTTAATCTTTCTCACTTCATTTAAGAGGCAAATCCACATTTTTATACAGTATAAAAGCTAAACTATTTACTCTCTCAGTTAAATGCACACGCGTACTGTGTACTCACTGTGTACTTACTGTGTACTCCTTAAAGGTTAAAAATATATTTATTAGTATATGGATTATGTCTTATGACTAATGGGACACATAAAAACTGCAATCACCACAGAAGTGACCTTCGTGTCTGGAACGATGAAGATTAGAATCGTGCTGTGTCTGCCTTGTGTTTTCACTACTTGAGCCAACTGGCACCGAGCTGGCGTCCTCTCCCGGGCTCCCAGTCTGCCATGATGACAATGGCAACCAGCTACCGCATGGCACGTAAAAATGACAAAGCAAGCCAAGGGATACTTGGAAGATATGAGGATAATACAACACAACATGATCAATCGCTCTGTTAAGAAAAACGTACTCCTGGACATTGCTATTGCTGGCCATTTTGCATTTCTAGGACATCAGCCTCTTCATCCAAGTTTGGAGAGCAGTTTTTTTTTTTCAATGAGCTTTAAAAGCGGCAATTTTGAGCTGGAAAGAGAAAATTAGGTTCTTAGAGTGTGTATCCTCTAAAGGGTTGAATTTCTTCAGGAGGAAGCAAAAAATGGCCTACATTCAAGTGCGCCAGCTTATCTGCTGTGTCCTCCCGTAACCTGCTCCATTCAGTATGTGAGCTAGTGAAGCCTCAGCAGAGAGCAGGCAGTGTGACAGGACGAAACAGATTCAACATCTCAACATTTGTCTCCCCCGTTTATCTCGCTGTTGCCGTCTCCAGCTTAGTCACTCATAACTGTAACTGGAGATCCATCCTCGAGTTATTTTGAGAACACGTTGCTGCCAAATTCCCCATCTTAAAAAATATTTGATAATGTAATATCTTACAAAGCACAATACCAGCCTGATAGTATTAGTTTACCAATATATCAGTCATGCTCTGGAGTCTTTGTGCATTTTAACAAGCCCTACGTTTCCGTACATTACAAAACAACGTGCAGATACATGAATTTCTTTACGGATCGATATCAGCCCAGTGCTGGCTGATAAACAATCAGTTTAATTTGTTCTTAATTTACTCTACTAGATATGTTCGAAAGCTGCTGTCTAAGTTTTCATAACACTTGAGTCAGTCTTATTGCCCCTTGTGTTTACCTCGGTCTCTACATGCTCAAGTTGTATCTTGTGACAAAATTATATGCTGTATTTTTTTTAGGCATTAAAAATTACAGCAAAAATCTTACTGCTGGTGGGTTTGTTTGCTTTTGTATGTGATATGACGGTATCAATATGAATTTCTGACTATTTCATGGATACCAAAAACTCCTCACAGGAGCTTTAATGCACCATAATATCTGCTTATATATCTGTCAATGTGCTCAAATGCACTTTAACTTCTGAGTGCTAAAAAAATGCTGCATTAAGTTTGTGCATGTCAGAAAAAACAGATGCTGATGTATATATAACCTAAAGGACCAATATTAGCCCCTTAATTTTGGTTGATGACACATTTTTAAGCTCTAGTCTTATTACACTCTCTCTAGTGGGCATGAAAAGCTGCTGTACTAACTCAACATCATGCACTTAAATCGCTGAAGAGTACTTGAATTAATTTTTGATTGAGAATGACTTCTTTCATTTAGCTGCCACCTGCCTCTCAAATTCTTCACTCTCAACTCAGACTCGTTTTTGGCAAATCTTTTTTTTTTTTTTTTTGCTACATTCGTGACTTCACTGCCAACAAGCTGCTTTTCTGGAGGGTTAAAAACTTGTTTGATTGCACTTTTTTATTTATTTATTTTTTAACCATTTCAGACTATAATATTTAGATGAAACCTATTCTTTTGGTGTCCTATCACTGCAAAGGGCAATGTTATTATAAATAAATCATCTATGAAGGTATTGATGAATTATGTAGACTTATGTACTCATCAGAAGTTTGCATTTATAATAAGCATGGAAACCGTCATAGGAAAGCTTTGAAAAGAGCTGAGCAAAGTTTAAAGTGGAACAATATCCTCATACGTGTAAGTTTGGGACCTTGATATCACAAAGTTTGGTGCATTATGTTGTTCAAATGATCTTTGAATTCATTAAAAAGAGAAAATTTTAAACATACAGCGGATTTCTTTTTGTTTTTCAAACTATCCGTCCATCTTAATAAACACCCTGTCGACACTGTTTGTGCATGAGTGTGAGTGCTCCTCCAAGGCCTGGACTGGTCTGAATGAGAAGTTAACACAGCAGCCCCGAGGATACTTCCCTAAACAGTTCACCTCTGTTTTTTGGGGGATGACTGCTGCCTGAACTCTGTTCCCCCACCGAGACAATAAAACGGCTGGACGACTATTGGACTAGCTAAAAGGCTGACAGTTTACAACTCAAGAGGGGCAAAGCTATGTAGCCTGTGTGACGATAAAGATTTAGTAACGCTAAGAGATTGGAATTCTCTCAGTCTGAGGTCAGACGGCCAAAGTTACCTTTCCACATTCCCTGAGGGCGTATGAGGAGACCCCAGGCAGGAGCCGGGGCACACAGTTAGATCCCGTCAGCTCCACACAAAGGAGATGTCGCAGTCAATCAGAAGTCTCATCATTCCTGCCAATAATTACTTACTAAGATTGCAAATGGGATGTACTATCTTTAGTAGGGAGAGCACTAGTCTGTCTCCTGCTGTCACTCTGCTGAAACCTTTTAGAGAAAGAGATAAGGGCATGTGGGTGAAGAATACATAATCTCACTTAAACCGATGGCTAAATTTTGATGGAAATTTCAAGCACAAAAATTTCAACTGATCTTTCAGTCATAGCTTTTTTTTTAGAAAGTCAAATGCACTGAAAAAAGCAAACAGATCACATCTTCGGGTTCATCATTTTAAAAAAAATAAAAGAAAATACAACAATTTATATCTTCAAAGCATGGTATAAGTAATTAATACAACTTGCAGTCTTATCAATTTGGATTTTTTCACATGGGAGCTGGGAACAAAGCAGCACCATCCCTGCAGGAGTAATGACAGGGCGTTTAAGAAAGCCCATTCAGAATATTTTGTTTATTATTCTGATGAATTTGTAAATTATAAAAATATGTTCAAAGATTTAAAAAAAAAAAAAAAAATCCAAACAGTTGAAATTAACATAAAAGTGTCTGATGTTCTTTCTTCTGTTAAAAGCTACCCAAACTTTAAACTTAAAAGCGAAGCATTATGCTGAGAGTGACTGGTACATTATGATAAAGGAGTACTTTAAAAGTCTTGATCTTTTCACAGTCCCAGAAAGCACTGTTATTGGAGAGGATTTGCTGTGAGATTCCCTTTTCAGTCTAACGGCATTAAAAAGCGTAAAGACTGGAAGACAGAGGAGAGAGGCTGACGTCACAGACCAAGAGTCACCCGCCGTGTGTTCGGCGTCTCCGAGTAAAGACTTATCTGCAAAGAGGTTTGGACGGACAATGTGGGTGGACAGGGCGTGAAACTACTATCATCATCAGTTCTGAATGAAAAAAAGAAAACATATCTTCCACAAAAAAGGAGGCTCATTCCAATTCAGCTGCGTTGTTAGGACAACGAGAACCATCCCTCAGATGATTAGTTCCACTTCAAAAGAATTTACTTTCCGCGGTGGAAACGTCCCCCTTTTGTGTCCTTACACAAGGCTTTCTCAGCCTTTAAGAAGAATCGTATGTTTAGTCAGCCTGTTTATTATTCCTTCTGTTCACACTACAATTGTATTAAATAAATAGAGTACTGCTAACAAAGGCCTATTAGCTCATAAACATGTCCCGGTACACACAAAAAAGGCTAAATCACAGTCGCTGCAAAAGAATTAAGATACTCTAAATGCAGGGAAAAGCTCAAAGTACATTAGTGTGGAAATGCTGCCAACTCAGAATGTCTTGTTACTGATATCATGAAACATGCATGTTGCACTGCACATATTCTCCCTTCCTGGGGACTTGTTGTGTGGCTCCATTTCAAATCTTAAAGATGCTACTTCTTGAAAAAAAAGCTGGAGTCACTGCCGGAGAGGCAAGCTGGATGGTTTTTAGCGTGCATGTTTTCCAAAAGGTAAAATGACTGAGAATATGGTACGACCTGTTACTCTTCAAATAAAACAAAAAAGTTTAAATGCAATACAAATGTACATACTTGAAGATTTTACTTTTAAAAACAGATTGAAAACGCCAAAAACAGCCTAAACAGTTAATTGCAGGTTATTAATTTAGCCACGATGCTGTAAATTACATTCAAATTAATATGACTATTAATGTGCGATTAGAGCAGCAGATCAAAGAGAGTTACAGCAGTTAGCTTGAACGTTAACCCGACTTCCTTGAGATTTTAATGACACGACGTGAATGCTAAAGAGGCTCAGCTGAAGATAAGCAGACATCTTGCCTGGATCAAAATCCCAAAAGGGGCGGAGTGGAGTGTGGTGAACACACCTAAACGCAGATGAGTGGAATAGGGATGAAAAGTTTCTTTTTTTTTTGCCTTGACGCAGCCTGCAACTGGCAGCTGTGACATCCTGGTTACTTTTACTGGATTTTTCTTCTTTTTCTTTCTTTTTGAAGCTGAATCCCAAAACCAGTCAGGAATGCATGTGTTTGCAGGCCTTCAGGCAACAAGAATAAAGTCAACCAGCAATAAGAACAGCCTCATTTTTAAAAGAAATAATCCTCCTGCATAAGAAACTTAACTATATAATGTGTAAAAAATCTCATATTGTCCCCCTTTTTCCTGCACCTGTCTTGTTTTTATAAAAAAATCTCTGCTGTAAACCTGCGCCTGATTAAAAAGAAATGCCTCACACCACTTCAATCACTCCAGCAGTCCACTCCTGCTCTGTCTTTGATGACTGTATGTTCCAGTATGAATATTGACTGGAAGCGTGCCTGGTGTGGCTCAGGAGTATCTCTCCTTCCCTTCATGATCAGTGATGAGCCTCCTTGTGACCTACAGTATATTAATATGCTCAGCAGAAAGACGCCTCTTGGCACAGGACACGCCAGCAGCAGCCCTTTAATGTTTGCGACTGTCAAAGCTTTGATTTCTGATTGATGAGTAAGGTCGGTGCAATAACAGAACGACATCACTGGTCATCTCACCTCACCCCCTTTTTTTTTCCAAAACATGGAACTTATCCTTTAACACTTCACAACAGCCCTGCATGTCAGACTCCAAAAGCTACACCACAGCACCTGTTTGAAACTGAGTAAGGTAAGTGCCTTAAGGCTACAGATGTACAGAATAAACACTGTATATGTAGCATGTATTGACTGAGCAGGGGGGAGCCCTACAAGTGGGATGAAAGTTTCTTTTTCTGTCCTCTAACCAGGATGAAACACAGAAAGTGCTATGTGTTCAGCAGTTTATCTACAGTTTGCTCTTCTACTCCTGCTCTCCTCTCAGGCTGAACACTTTTCACTAAATAACCTTTTTATACCAAAAGAATAGCAGAACACAGACAGAGTACACAACTTTTTCACTTGAGCTGAAGTATAGATGGTCCTGGTCCAGTACTACACCCATACAAGTGTTTGATTTTCATACTATATAAGAGCAGTCAGTGCTACATGGGTAAGTCAAATGTTGCTCAAGCTTCACACAATGACAAAAAAAAAGGATTTAATTATATTCAAGTCATTTTGCTTGGTGCAAGGCCTTGTTGACTACGCAACTATGTCACATATTCTTCATCCTGGGATGCTCAGGTAGGAGTACGCAGAGCTACATAAACACTTTATCAGATTTTAGAAACAAAACAATGTTTATCGGCTGACTGCAGAGCCAAGGTCGTAACAAGAGCATTCGTCAAAACAGAGTGCAGAACAATTCATCTTTCACACTTTGAAGTTTCCCAAAAATAATTATACACAAGTTAAGGATAGATGCTCAAAAAAAAAAGGTTAGGAAGCACAGTACTCAAGTAAGTGTACTTGGGTTCTGTCAGACACTACTTTAGGGTCAGCTGATCAGGTTAAAAGGGATTAATGGCTCTTAAGCAGAGGCCACCTTCACAGGTTTCCAGAGTTTTGCTTGAATTAATCTGAAGCGATGCAGGTTAGGTTTCGGTAATGTTCTCTTGTATTACAGTTGTTGTTGTTTTTTCCTATATACTACAGCCTCCAGTATGTCCACAAAACGACACTGATTACACCAGAAGCCTCCTGTATTGTATCCATAAGTCTGTCCATTTTTGATGACTAGTTATGGAGTATATAGCAGAAAGGCCAGGGGTGTATCCAGACTTATTCGAGTGGGGTGGCCCACACCACATGTTTAAGGGTGACAAGGCGTATACACACAAATAATTAGCATATTACCTTTGAAACCCTTTCTGTCTCCACTGATCTATTAACTACTCTACAAACTACTGAGCTGCTAACATTGAAGTGTCATACTGGTATTGTAGTCATGTATATATTTTCTAACTTAAAAAAGTAACAAAACAGAACGGGCAACACAAATATTATAAGCTAAATTCTCTAAGAACACAAGTCCCAATATCCGAAGTGCCAACTTAAAGCTCCTGTAAGGAGTTTGTGATGAGTATGAAAAAAGCTGAAATTTATATTGGTGCCTTTTCATGACATCTACAATCAAACAATACCATCTACCAAGATTGAGAATTTTTATGTTCTTATTTTTTAACACCTGAAACTGGTTTGGGAGGGTAGATGTCAGCAACGAAGCTAAAGAAACAGTCTGGTTTTTATTCATTTATTTTTTTGCATTTCTTTAAAATAAAATATTCACAATAAATAATACATTTGACCCTGGAAAGTCAGCAGGATAAAATGTATTGTCAAAAATTACTATTCAAGGATAAGATACACAAAGACTGCTTTGTCCACAGGGGGCGCCAACATAGAAAAACTGTTTTTTTGTTTGTTTTTTTTTTAAGTTGTTTTAAGTTGTTTACAACCTTCTACACACTAGTGTAGAAACCATGTGTGAACTACATGTTTAACAATTAAGAGTATCGGCAAAAATACACAATAAAATGCAAAAAAAGCCACAAACAGGCTGTTGCATTTAAGTCTAAACAAATTATTTGAGTCCCATATCTGGTGAAAGCTGATTAGACCTAATGATTTTTTTAGGATGGTACCCACCCGTGGCTGCTCCTCTGGACACACCCCTGGATATGCCTATAACTTTAGGACTTCTCTTAATATATTTTAAAGACGCAAGTTTTCCTGTTGACTTTTGTGAATGGACTTGACAGAAAATGAAAATAACTGCACAGACGTAATAGTACACGATAAGTTTGTAGGTGAATTCGTCACTCTTGGCAAATACCAGACTTATGATTTTACCATTATCGTTAAACCGTTGGAATATCTGCGTGAAACTATTTTGGTTTCATATGCAGCCTCAGTGCTACTAAGGGGTTACTTAAATAGAGGTTTTATCTCATTATTAGCTTTGTATTTACCTAATTTAACTGACATAAGAGAGTCTTGGATGTGCGACGTTGGGATGAATACAGAGTCATCTACTAAACCAACTAACTTTACAAATCAACTTAACAATAACGATGAAAAGCTGTAGGCCAACTTTGATACCCACAGAATTTATTACAGCTGAAAGCCTACTTTAACAAAACAGATTGAGTCTTTCCTCTTAGATATGTTTTCTCACTCAGGCCAGTGTTAGTGATAATGTTGTACTGAAAATCCAAAAAGAGACTAAAGACCCCTGAGTCCTGGAGCACAGCATCATTCACAATGATCCCTAAAACAGACATGTAACATGACCAAGTGAGCTACGACTCCTGCCAAGAACGCTGAACTGCAGGTTTACCTGACAAAGTCATCACAGTCTTAATAAAATCTTTGAACCCAAAAATTCTTCATCTGAATAAAGCAACATAAATATAGTTAAGATGCATTATCATATCTTCACCCTTTTTAATAAATGAGGACAAGCTAATTTAGAGAAAAATAACTTAACCAGCTGAAACTAATTGCTCCTTTCATCTATCCAATTAAAAGCAGAAATTTTAATCCAAGTAGTCTATTTCTTGTTTTGATAGCTCATCACATGCCTTAGCCTTTTAATCAGCTCAAAAATATCAGTATCGCATATTAATTCAACGGTAAGAGATGAGATACCATTTACAGGGACGCTGTAAACCCGATCCCACAATGCCTGGGTCTAATTGACAAGTTGTTTTGGCAAAGCTAGCCGCTAACTGCTAACGTTTTCAATCTATACCCACTCAGGTGTGTATGTGTGAGAGAGGGTGTGAGGAAGTTGTTAAAATGGTGCTGAGGATCAATGGGATGTTGTTGTTAGCGAGAGACCTTTCAGGCGAAACATCAGTAAAGGTGGCATCACAAGTTGTCATGTGTGATGTTTGTGAAATGCATCTGGATCGTCTCCCCCTCCTTCAGCTGCCTGTATAAACAGTCAGCAGCGACAACTCGGCTCGCTGGCATGTTTTTCTTTTTTTTTTTTTCTCCTGTGATGAAACAGCTCAGTTGCATGAGGTAATCTCACCCTTACCCAAATGAGATGGTAATGCCTTCACTCAGGGAATTCAGCAGCACCTAGAAGGAGGCTGTGCTGCTCAAATGGGACTAATAATAGAGCCTATCTCTTAACTCTGAATCTATATTATACGCTTCAAAAATGAGATCAACTATATGGGTCAGTGGGATTTCTGCGAGAGGAAAAAAGAACAGAAAGGAGCAACAAAAAGAAAATATGCTCCGCTGACAACAGATCTAAGGAATGCAGCAGCTAATAAGAAAACTATTTGGGCAGAGCAACAGCTCAGAAGTTTAATTAACAGAGCTGGTTTTTAACTGATTGAAAGGGAATACATGTCCACACTCATGTGCACGCGAGCCTAATTATTTTCAACCCCTTGATTGTCTAAATAGGCTTTATAAATAAAAGCACAAGTGACTTGAAAATGTTCAAAGGGACTGATTTTAGAAATGGAAATGATCAAAGAGCAGTCTTTCAGAACTCGTGTGATCTGTGAGTCAGAATACACGGGGACTTCAGTCGTCCACGCTGCTGTGGCCTAGGTTTCATTTTAACTTTGGAGGAGACACACACACGGAGGAACGAGCACACACACCCCAACTCCACCCCCAACATCTGGCTTTCTCAGAGGACAATAAAGACATTTATTAGCCTCCATCTTCGCTCAGGCGGCCCACAAATTAAACTGAACTTATAAAAACAGAATCAGTGCATACCTCAGATCAGAGCGAATGCGTTTTGAGTGAATCTTCTACAAACGTGCATCCTGAATGATGGATTTACAGTATCCTAAAACAGGAGCAAAGCCTTTTCTATTAAAGACATGAATAAAGCTGTTTAGATAATTATGTCAGTGCCTTTGCGTCGCCTCTGGCATCTTGTTCACACATGTGTGTATAACCAACAGCCCACGCTGGCTCCTGATCCATTTATTTTTATATAACTAGCTTGTATCTTTACTTAGTGTGTTGATAAAAGGAAGTCGATGTACAACAATTCAAAACACATGCAGAGAAAGAGCACAGTTTGGTACTTACAGTACAGCAGTTTGGTTGTAATCTGCAGAGAGGGAGTGGCTTCTTTTCCCCTCATGGGCTCCTTGGCATTATTCATGGCCCCTCAAACGTGGAACAGTCTGAATTAAGTTAATGTACAGAGCATAGTTAATGATGTGTTTGATCAAGTGGGAATAATACAAGTCAAATACAGTGCACGCATAGTTTTTAGTGATTAATTTATGGCTGGGATTGTTCTGCCTGTGCTCTTAGAAGTTTCACACATACTGCCCGGCTGCACAACAAAAGTCTCCGGCTAACTTTTTCCCTTTTCTTTCAACTTACTTTTAGAGATTAAAGTCAGTTTGGTTGTTGATTTATGTGTCAAAACAGGGTGGGGATGGTGTTTTTGTTGTACTGGAGGCGATGCATTTCCAAGGGAATGCGTTCTGTTTTGTTGCAGATTCATATTCCTGAGACAGATCCCCAGTTACACAGATGGGTTGCATAATCCTGCCAATTACATAAGCAAAGGAATTCAATGTCACTCACAACAGCAGCAGCAGCAGCAGTCCCCCCATAATCTATTGGAAACTGGAGCGGAGGACAAATGCTAATTAATTCAGCAACATATATCCCGCTTTAATAACGGACCTGGAGCGGCTATATGTATCACTCTGTCGGTGCTTAGAGGAAGGATTTCTGATCCCGTGCCTCTTTACAGATACCTAGAACAGAGTGTAATTCCCCCGGGACTGAAACAGATACTCTGTTCTTTTTGAAAGTCATCTGTGGAAGGCGCTAACTTCACAGGATTATAATTCAGCGGTGAGCTTGGCATTGTACTGATCTCAGGACGAAATTCAACTGTATTGATGTTGCACACACTCACACACACACACACACACTGTACATCTCATTAGCATATCATAGTATATGGCCAATTCAGGGTCAGGCTGCCGTATTGATCATGAGAAAGATAAAAAGATGGTTCATCATTTCCTTTTGACACCTAAATCCCATACCTGGGCTCCTCAAGGCCGAGCTAACGGCTTATTATCCTCCCTGCGCTCCTGTTAGCTTGTGGCTAATGATAAACTACCTCCATCAATAGTTTCTTAACCTCACAGGGACCTTAACGACACTCAATTTAGAGTCTTTATTGATGACTTTAAATTAATAAAAAGACACAAAAGGTTCCCCTTCATTTCCTCCTGTTGCTGTGTGTCAAGCACTCTAGGGTCAATGCGACACCAAATTACATTTGTCGCCTCCATTAATGTGACAGCCTTAAAGCAACATATCATCACAGTGTGGAGCTTGGTTTAACTGTAATTGAAAAGGCCCAAGGGGAATTCCTAACTTGCGTGGGGGGCCCCTCTAACCCCCTTACCCTACATCCATCATTGTAGAGTTAGGCCCTGGGGTGTTCTTGTTACGCTGAAGGTTAACAGTGAGATAGCCATGTGTCCTCACTCGTAGCTTTTCTAAAATGTGGGCCAATCGTGCTTCCACAGTCACTGGAAATCAGCTGAAAAACCACATACAGCATCATGTCAAGTACATATTAATTTGACGGCCACATACCAAGGAGTGTGAGTTTGATCCTGTCAACACATCTGTGTTCAGCCAATGGATGGACTTCAAAAGGCATGTGATCAGAAACAGAATCCTTCCTTCAGATGTGGAGTTCACAGGCTTGATTACACAGCCGCCTTGCAATGCATACTGCAACAGATAAAATTAAACACTCGCGATTACTCACTGCTTTGAAACACCCTGGACCATGATCAATGTGATCTCCTTTTTTAAGTTCAACCTCAAACAACTGAGATTTGAGAAATTCTACAAAAAAAAAGTATTATTTAAATACTGTATCTCACAACAGAAAGCAAATTGTTGCTAATGAAATGTGATAGTTTTGAGAAGCGGCAAAGACAGCAGGCACTTAGAATCTCTTTGCTGTGTTTTTTTTGTAAAATCTGAGGCATTGTGCTCTTTAGGCGTCATGATCAAAGCCTTTTTAACATTTTCTAACAAACGCTTCAAATGCTTTCTGTAAAATGTGAATCATTAAGTGGAGGCTCAAACACGTAACTGATAATTTCTCAAAGATCACATCCTGTAGCACTGTGAAGCAGCGCAGATGAAGATAAAGACAGCATGAATACATGCTCCAGCGCGTACGTTTAAGCATATTCATCTGGCTCTTCACTTACATGAAAGCTAGCAGCTGCCCTTGCCAGAGAGCGGAGGACATTAAGGCTCAGCCTGGTTGATCTCTGATGACAAGGGTCTGGAGGAGGGATTAGAAGCACAGGGACCAGAGTTATGGTCATTCCCTTATAAGGAAGGCATTGCATCTCATAGGCCTGAAGCTCGCAGAAGTTGTAAGATCTTCAAAAGGTCTTCTCACCCCACGCAACCCTCCTCAACTCCCCAAAAACCTTTGCACGAGTGAATTTCATTACATATCATCTTTCAAAAATATCATTTAATTTCCTTTCAGTTGCAACAGACCACCAAATATACTGCTGGCCATGTCTGAAACTTTCAATTTGTTGTTTTTTTTTTCTTTGTACAAGCTAATCAGAGTCACCAGCTCATAGGAGACCATTAAAGCCCCCATGATATCCCAGAGACTGGCTCATCTGAAACTGTCAAAATATCTGTTATGTAAGGCATGGATAATAAATGAAAAAAAGACGTCTTTTGAGAACCATCCGCAGGGGTGGATTGCAATGCATCAAAAGACAAATATGCATTAGATATGAGGGTGGGAGGGGCCTTCTTGCCATCCTGCTGCATATTGGCTGTCGAGCGATACCCAGTTTTTTGGCAAATTCGACAACAATGGTTGGAGAGCTGGAGTGTTGGAGGGGCTTGGGCTTAAGTTGACAGTGGAGCGACCGTTGGGGAGAGTGAATAGGAGCCTGGTTTAATAAGCCTGGGTACAGGCTGGACTACACAGGGGGCTGGCACCGCTGAAGCCAGAAAAACTGTAGCAGAGATTAAGACGGGGAAGAAACGTAAAGGATAAATCTGGTTGAATCGTAAAGGTACACAGCAGAATTTGTAAACACACCAAACACATGTACAATAATAATAAAGATGGCAATGTCTTACACGAAAGCCTGCTCCTGATGGTGCGTATTAAAGCGTATTAATTGTCAAGCTGTCATATTAACAAAGACTCAGACATGAAACAGATTACCTTTCTAATACATTCATTTTACTCCCCTGTTTTATCTTATCGACATCTAGATTATATAGCGTTCAGTCTTCTAGATCAGGATCAATCTTTCTTCATGTTACAGTTGACCTTATTATGCAGTCTTAGCATCATTGGTGTCTTGATGCTAAACCTTTCAGGAGCTTCGGTTTCACAACTCGAGAAGGACAAAATAAAGCAGAAGCTTCCAGTTTAGCATGTGGAGACAATCTTCCACAGACAAAGCAGTCGAGAGCAGAAATATGAGCTAAGTTCCATGCGTGTTTTTGGGGGGGGATCTGGTGTAGGACACCTACTGACCATGGCAGCACACTGGTGGAGATTAGGGGGCCATCATGAAGGAGCCACAGAGGGTGAAGATAGCCAGGAGCTGCAGGGGTACAGATAGATGAGACGCAGGAACAAGAGGACCTGGTGAAAAAGAAGAAAAAAAAATGAAGAAGAGGAGGGGGCACAGAGGGGTGGGATGAAAAGAAAGCAAGTTGGGGAGCAACAGCACCATTGGCCTGACCTGGGGAAGATGGGGGGGCTAAAGCCAAGAGATCCAATTAAAATCACACCCGGCCAGTCGGAGTCAACGCTGACACAGCCCAAGCCGTAGAGCATATTCAGGAAAGTACAGGAGCCGCTGAGTGGAAGTTACGCAAGATGTCACGCGTGGTTATGATGCTGCATAAAACCAAAGCGCTGATGTGACAAAGCAACCCACCCCCCGGTACTCACAGCTGGGGCTCCACCCAACTATGGCATAACGACAAACCACCGAGGTGGGGGGCGAGATAGCAATTCAATGGATCCCAAGGTGAAATGGATTTATTTATATTAAACTGATGTATAAGCTTTCCAAAATGGCGCCTATGCTTGTTGCTAGGCAGAGAGAACTAGAGTAAAGATGGCGGCGCATGAAGTGGCGAACTGGGAAGCAGAGGTCTAATCAGTTGTGATTACTGAAGGGGGAGGAGGGTGTGGCAGGGTTCAGTGGTTATGGAATATTACCAAGTGTTGTACAGGATACGCAACAAAAAGATCCCGTAGTGAAGGTGGAAAAATTCACGGATTTGATTGTCGCTTCTTGCAGTAGCTCAGCAACCTACAGAAAATCCGCTATCTATACTCAGACGCAGAGGTTTTTTTTTTTTTTAGCACAACACAATATTTCATTGCATGTTTCCCGATGAGAGATTTTTGTTCTCATTTTTGTAAAGCAAAAGTTAAAACACACATACTGCTGTAAAGATTTAGACGACGAACTTTAAGACAGAGCAGTGTCAATTTTTTTTTAAGTGATCTCAAGATTCTCTGTATTCCTCACACCAAGACCTCTTGATGTGGCCTTCATGAGGAGGCATTACAAAACATAAAGCTTTCAGAAATGTTAAATGTTAACATTTAACTTTAATTTAGAAGAAAGTGTTTACCCCCTTTTTTTAAAACATCTATCACTTTGACTGTGACAAGGTTGTAGCATGGCACTTCCCACAAAACTTCTACTCTAAAAATCCTCTCTAATAACCTAGAAAGCAGCAGATTTTATTATTAATATGTATCCATTCAAACATAATCTAAAATAGTTTTTTATTCAAACTAATAGACCATATGTACCCGTTCCAGGCATATCTGTGTGAGCCTTGTAGAGACGCAGGGACAGGAGACGGATGAATGATAAGATGATTAGCTCGTTTTAAACTGGCTGCTGTTTCATAAAAATTAAAACCTACATACTGTAACTTGTGGATCATTGTTGTTTTAAATGTCTCACGGAAAGCCTAGAAAAGTGAAATCAACCACGGTCAAAACTCAGGAGGGATTTGCAAAAATGCTTCATCAAAAATGATCTGCCTCTCCCTGAAGAAGCATTCCCATGAGCACAATGTGCAACACAGTGTTCACTTTTAACAGCACACAGGATAAAGACGTAAACAAGTTCATCATAACTCTGCACCTTTTTAAAGAACAATTACACTGTTGTGCGTACTTTACATGTTGCACTAAAGAAAAATGATGAGAGAAAGGAGCAGCTGGAGTTTTTCTTACATTTTTATAAACATAGAGGGATGAAAGTCGCAAAGGGCCTCTAATGCTTTTATTTTCTTACAGATTACATCAAAAATAAAAGCATGATAGCAAAAATCCTCTGTACTTTATTATATTGTCAACACTGGAAATTATAAAAATCCTCTCATAAGAGTCTTCACCCCATGTTTTTTGTGGCCATCTGTACAAATCCCCCTCCATCAAACCCTCTCTCCGGAATAAAGAGGATCCCTGTTAGCTAGTTAGCTGTCAGATCCCTGCAAGAATGTATTTCAAAGAAATGTAAAATGAATGCACTCTTGACCTGGTGTCTTTTTGATATGAGTGAAGCAAATTGTTATATATATAAAACGGCAGTCATCATCGGCATGTTTAATGGTATAAAATGCTGACATCCATACATATAGGTACAAAGTAGAGAGCTTTTGCTGCTGGCAGTGGAGCAGAGGCTTTTTTTCCCCATTACCTTATTCATCATAATTGTGACCCATCCAGCCTCTACAGTAATCAAACTACTGCAGGACAAGGACAGATTTCACTGTCATCATCTTTAGCTCCACACCATTAAATGTCCCATTAACTGTATTTCAACCTGGTCACTCAAGTTTTCAATTCACGTCTCTTATATTGATAGAAAGGGGGTAATTTTTGACCCAGGGAGCCAAGAATGAAATGTATGACATTAATAGCCCGATATATTAGTTTTAACTCTGCGCGAGGATGAGTTGCAAACCTGAAATCAAGTTCTGCTGTGAAAAGAAACCCAAACACAGCATATCCCCCCCTCAAAGTAATGAGGTGTTTGTTGAATTTTATATTCCTGAAGAAGCAAGCGAACATGAACAAATATGTCAGAGGAGCTAGATGAATGAAGCAAACATTATACTATTTGCAGCACTGTATGCATCCTAAGAGGGGAAACTAACACTCTCTCTCTTGTTTTTTTTTCCCCCTTAACTTTCAAAACTTTTTTTCAATAGCTAAATAAAACAGAATGGCACATATCTGTTCCCTGTGATTTTTTTTAAACTGTGAAATCCTGAAAATCTATTAACTCAGACTCAAAGTGAGGAGCTTTGAATGCAGAAGTCTTTATAGCAAATAAAAGCATTCTGTTTGTAGTGTGAACAAAATGATGGGAATTAATGGTAATAGTGTTAGTTATTGGAATTTGGACAAAGCAATGATTTCAGACTCTTATTTGTGTGTGTGTGGAGCTAGCTTACCTTCACTTTGAGACGTTTCAGTGAGAGTATGAGTGTGAAGAAAGGGACAGAAATCAAATGAAATACAAAAATAGATTAATTGGATCAAAAATAAGCGAAATTACCTTGAAGTGGAAGTAGAAAGCGCGTGCTGTTTGAGTGACAGAGTGCGCGTGACCCTTCAGCTAACGCACCTGTATCCCTAGAAACGTACGAAACGTAAGGTTAGCTAAAAGAAGTCGACGCCCTTTGATTATAATAGTGACGTTTTTTTACAGACTGAACGATAAAATTAGTTGTTAAGCCTTTTTAATTTAACGTGTTGCCATTCACTCTTGTGTGTAACGTAAAAGCAGGTCACTAATAGAGGTGTAAAGGTCTCAACCGTCTCTAAAATCCACAGCCTCTAAGCTAGCTTGCACAAAACTGCTAACCTGCATATATGGCGTATATGAAATTATATAGAGAAAGAAGTTTGAGTGCACAGTGGAAATAAATTAAACGGTTTTAACCCGACATGACTGATCAAAGGAGAATAGAGACACTTCAATAAAATATAGAATACATTATTAATAACACAGTGTGCTTATGTACAGTAGGGCTGTGTGCTGAATAGACGTGTTTAACAGTATCACGAACACTAGCTTGTGCTCCCGCTGGGCTTACTTTGCACGGAAATTGTTAAAAAAAAAAATAATATACAGAAAACAGGAACGTGGAAATTTTAAAAAGGGTGTGAGAGGGGACATTCATAAGAGGAAGAGAATTAGACCATGTGAACCTAATTGCAGATAAAACATGCTGCAGGCCCATTGCGCAGACTCCATAGGTTCCCCAAATGTAACATCTTTCTGATATTTATTTCATCTTGCGACAAACATACATGAATAATGCCTCTATCTTCCCCCACATACATTACATCTATTTTACATTCAACAAAAGCCCTAAAATTAAGGCTACATTCATCATTTTCCTTTCCTTCTCAATATACGTTCAGAAGACCCAAACACGCAGATTTACATGAAATCCTTTGTCGTTTTTTGTCCCAGTTATGGCGGATATCTTTCATAATAATGCAAAACAGCGAACAATTAGGCATACACACTTTTTTAAAAAGGTCTCTATAACCCACTGTGGGAAGATAGGGCTACAGGCTTGAGAGCCAGAGCGCACCAAACAGGCCTCACGACAACAAATAAAGCTTGTCACATTTCGCAATGCAACATTTTCAATATAGAATGACTCAGGACGTGTCACAAAATATCTGATACAACATTCACAAAAAATACAGACAGCAATATAGATACAGCTGTGTGTTTATATGGAATAACTTGAAAAAATAGGCCCAAAAATTCTTCCGCCAGTCTGAACAGAACCTCAGAGAGACGGGATGTTGTTGCAATGCTTTGGTGGGAAGGAGTCCACGCCGCTGTGGCATGTGTACCATCCGTTTACAAGACTTTTCTGAAAGGGAGAAGTGGAGGGGAATGTCCTGGAGCTCTGAGCGAATGTGTGACCCGTCTGCCCGCCGTGATACTGGGATGACTGGGACCTGTAGCTGCCTCTCTGCAGCAACAAAGGGTCCAAGAGGGGCTGTGACCTGTGTGCGGAGTAGTCCAAACTGCTGTCAAACGTGTGATGGAAACGTGACCTCGGGGTCGACTCGTCTCGACTCTCTGGGGACATGGGGATATCTTGAGTGGATGTGGGGGGCTGAGGGGAGCTGATCTGGACTCCATCCGGGACTAAAGTTGATCTGGGCTCCGTGGTGTGTCCCACATCTCCAGGGCGCGCGTCTCCGCTTTTGGAGACGTGGACCTTGTTGCAGTGGAGCTTCATGTGCTTCCGCAGGGAGCTCGGGTGGGTGTAACACTTGTCGCAGCCCCTGACCTTGCACATGTAGGGTTTGTCACTGGAGTGCACGTGAGAGTGTTTCTTTCTGTCACTGCTGTTCGCAAATCTCCGGTTGCAGCCCTCGAACTCACATTTAAAAGGCTTTTCACCTAAACGTGCAGAAAGAGAGAAATGGCGGCGTGTTATGAAAATGATGTTTAATATCCGCTGCATTCCTGTTTTACTATTCATGATATCTATGCAGATTACCAAGTAGATAAACTTAATAAAACGGAATGTGTGAAAGTGGCACCTAAAATTGAAAAAGAAAAAAAGAAGAAAAAGTTTTATCAAAATCTACGCAACACCCAAACGCCTTGTCTTGAATTTTGGGACACAGACAGCAAAAATAGCAGCTTTAGGCCTCACCAGTCTTGATAACTGGTGCTTAAAAATGCCAAACTGCAAAAGGAATTGAGTAAAAAGTTTGTGTGAGTGAATAAACCCCTGAGATCCAAGTTTCTCAAACTCCTGTGCACTTCTGATCGCAACAAGTCAGTCTGCGGACAAACTCAACAGGAGTAGGCCAGTTACACTTATCATTATATAAATGATGATGGACCTGCCACAGCAAATGCAAAGATTAGTTTAAATGAGTCATCACGCACAGAGTGAATTAGAGCCATCAAGCCGCTAATTGATGTTGCAGCACAGCTGCGCACTGGCCCTCCTGCACACACGGTCATGCAGCGTGCACAACTTTAATAGTTTATCTTAAATCAATTTTATGCATGCATCTGAGTTTATTTTGCCTTTAGGAATTCGAATTAAATTTCTTAATATATTTTTAGTGCTTAAACATGTGAAATTAGGGAGACATGACCACTTCTATGCAGCAGAGTCATAACAAATGTCATTAAACAGTCCATTTCTGCCTCTGTTCTCATAGCTTTCATTAGCAAAACAATTTTAACCAGCACTAAAAAGGGGGTTTCACAATGAATTCATATTTTTTTTCAAAGGGTCATTCACGTCATTATTTAATTAAACTCTCAATTAAAATGTCAGTAATGTATGGTAAATACACTTTGTTAGATCACGTTAACGCTCCCTTGTGTAGATAGAAAATAAAACGGAATCCCTCTTTATTCTGTGCTCAGAGGAACCCGGAGGGAAAGCCCCACTGAGTGACCGATTTATAAAAAATAAAAAAAATAGAAATGCTTTTTATTACATCATTGTGAGGGTGCACCCTGACCACCAACAGGCCTCATGGAGTGATTTGGATTTGGATGAGCCTATAAAAACAATTTTTATTTCTTTTTTTTACTTGTAAACTCTAATATTAAACACCTTGATGGGGTCACCCGTGTGTTCACCTTTTTATTTGCCATTACCACCTCGTGTGCAGAGCTCCCTCCGCTCCTGTGATGATCCTGAGCACATGAGCTCAATCCCTGGGAGGCAGACACCGCGCGTAACGGCTACGTCACAGCTCTCCGGTGTCCCGACATTTATTTATTAATTTCCCTGAATGAAGTGGGAGAGGCACCCAAAGCAAAGCACCAGGGCCTGCAGACTACTCTGGTTTGGATCTGACTTACTGTAATACTACAACTCTATATATATCTGTGGTGTCTGCATGGAGAGCCTGGGCTGGTTTTTCCATGCAGAAGTAAAGGCGATAACAGAAAGCTTCGTAAAAATCACATTTAAAAAAAAACAACGTAGGCCTCAACACAACCACCACTATACCAATATTTATTAAAAGAATACAAAAATCTCAATAAATAGATCTTTATTTAAAGGTAGAATTAATTTGTAAATATGTACAGATTGATTAAAATTGTAAAATTGACAAATTTGGACGTGAGTGGATGAAATTCTTTAATAATGCAGTGCGCAAAAACATAGATTATTCAACCAGAAATGCACAAAAAAATGTGTTCTTGTTTTATCATAACAATTTTCAGAGTGTGTTTGATTCTGAACTGACCTGTGTGGGTCCTCTTGTGGATCTTAAGGTTCTCTGATCGTGCAAACACTTTCTCACAGCCGTGGAAGGGGCAGGGAAAGGGCTTCTCCCCTGTGTGCACTCTGACGTGGTTCACCAGCTTGTATTTGGCTTTGAAAGGCTTCCTGTCCCTCGCGCAGTTCTCCCAGTGACAGACGTAGTCAGAGTGCTCGGGTCCTCCGACATGCTCCACTGTCACATGGGTGACAAGTTCATACATGGTCCCGAAGGCTCTGGAGCAAGGCAGCTTCCCGGCCCCCTCTTGGCCGTCACTCCACTTGCACACCAGCTCGTGCTTCACCGTTTGTTTGGAGCACCTGAGGAAAGCGTCGCCTCCTCCTCCTCCTCCTCCTCCTCCTCGATGAATTGCCATGTTGAGGGGTTTGTAGAGACCCAGGAATTGTGTGACAAGTTGCTGGCTGTTTCCCTTGGGGTTAAGGGCTTGGCCATAGGGGTGAGTCCGGGTGAGGAGGTCGCCAGGTAGACCCAGCATCATCTGGCTGCCCAGGTCTCGAGACGCGTCCGTGGAGGCGTGGGCCTGCTCCTGGTAACTCGTGAAAAAAGCATGGCTTCTGTTGTCTCTGCAGCCAGCAAAGTCACGATGATACCTTCCAATCCCGCCATGTTGGCTCGCTCTTGATGCCAGTTGATCAGTGACGGGTGGCATGCCGGCTCCAGAGAGATTGGCTCCAATGATAATGCCCCTAGGGCTGTGCTCTAAGCGGTGGCTGGGGTATCCAGAGTCTGCAAAAGTGGGAACCGAGTGGTCAACATATGCACTGGACCTCGTCTCGGGGTAGTCTCGCAAATTGTGCGAGGGGCAGAGTTTTAAGGAACTGCCAGTGGGGTGTCCCATGTGCTCTCCTGCCAAAGGTGGCAGCACCACGCTGGGTTCAGTATTGCTCTCCCCGGGGTTGACGCAAGAGAGAGGGCAGCCACTAAACCTCGAAAGGCTTGTCATGTTTTGTTGTGAGTTTGAGGCTATGAGCTTTTTGCAAAATCAACCAATTCAGCACTCAGGATGCACCTAGAAATGCAGTCTCCATTCTCCCTTGCTTGTATATCATCTGCATGTGAAATTCTTGGCCGTGAACTTCGCAGAAGTAAGACCCAGACTCAATTTCGTTAAAGTTGGTGTGAGTCCCATGCCGTTCACTTTGCCCTCTTGATTTGTGGCAATAACCGTGGTAGTAAAAATGCTTCGAAACAGGCCATGGTGCAATATAAAAGCACAGCAGGCAAACCTGCTTTTAAAAAGGGAGCGTTGGGATTGGTTGGAATGTGCTGTGATTGACAGGCGCTGGGTTTGTTTTAAAAGGGACACGCAGGCGTTCACCGCACGACTCCGTTTTCAAATATCGCACTGAAAATGCTTTGAAATATGCCGCGATACCCGCAAATATTGCTGCCTCTTTAACTCCGTGCGCCTTCCTAAGAGAGAGAGAGGGAGAGAGAGCGAGAGAGAGAGCCCTTATCCAGAGATCTGCACGTAGGAGAAATGAAAAGGTTAACGTTAAACACCAATCTGTGAGAGAATCCAAGAGATTACATGCACAGGACGAAAAGACGAGAGAGCCACAGCGATTCATTTCTGTGGATTTCGCTGCCCCTGTGCAAATGTCCCACTCCTGCCCCTGTGCAACAATAACACAGAGAGTGGCCGGTGCGTGTCCAGGCCAATTACTGTCAAAACTTGCTTTTGATTGGAGTGCCAGAGCTGTGAAAGTTACAGAAAACTACTCACAGAAATCCTCTTTGGCCTTTGAAAAATTCTTAACTAAACAATTATACCTCTGTGAGTCAATGACAGAAAGTAAAGAGTGTTATTTTACGCACAGAGGCCTTTTTTTTATCTAGAGCGGTGGACTTTTATTTCATGTTTAATACCCATCTCTGAGTATTTGTCAGTTACTCTTTTATTTTGAAGAGCTCAGAAGAACATAACACAACTTTATGATTTTGAAGAAAAATAAAAAGTTTCACAGAGCAACAAGTAGCTCAACGTTACGCACCAAAAAGTTCCCAAGAAATAAGATGTTATTGAGAAAGAAGTTAATGAAGACGTCCTCAAACAGAGTCAGAACATGGTGTACTATTTAAACTCTGAGTCCAATGTGAGCAGTTCCTCCACATAGACCCCACCCCCTCTCCACCCCAACCCCCCCATTAAGCTCAAATAAATAAATAATCATCAATAGTGCACCATGATCTCACAGGCTGGCATTGATGTAAAATTGGTTACGTAAAATGTAGATTATGAAACGTGACAAACAGCAGCAGCAGCAGCAGCGGTATTGGTGGGAAGGCTTCTCTGTTAGACTCAAACTTTCTTACTTCGGGGTGCTGTGAGGACAGCTCTCTCCTCTGTAGCTGCACATATTTCTGCACGACTCCAAGCTTTGACGTGGCAAAGATCCGACTTTTTTTTTTTTTTTTTTTCACCTGAACTCACAAAAATAAAAAATAATGAAAAAAAAAATCTTTCATCTGTTGCTATAGTATTTAAATCTACATGAGTGGCGTGGGTTCCGGACTGCAGCTTTCATATGGTTTAATGTAGAGGGGGTAAAAACGTGATTTTTTTTTTTTTTCCACATTGTGAAGCTGACGTCACCTGCAGAAACAAAGCTAAGGGGCCCACTTGACATTAAATGGCACCAAAATAGCAGACAGGCCCAGAAGTGGCCTAATTCCGTCATGATTGTAGTGGACGCTCATGTTTGTCAACCTTTAACCCGATGCATTTCCGAAAATGATTGAAGGCTGAAGGCTGAAGGGACGGAAAGTTTCCAGTCTGTCACTCAGGGGGGACAGAAAACACTGACAGAGCTGCATGCGCCCTCAATGATTCCTCTGTCTTTTTATGCAGCAGTAAGACATGAAAAAATATCACAGAAAATGCACTTTTTATGATTAAAAACTACCTTCTTTAAAAGTAAAATGTGCATTCAGCAATTTCTCAATATTTGCACATTTACAGATTTATTGTAAACAAATTGCTTTTCATTTTCTTTAATGTCCAAATGCTCCTTTAGCTAGGCTTCAGTGTCAAATTTACTCCTATGAGTCTGCTGGCAACACTGTATTCAACATATTATTATCAACATATTATTCAATGTAAAATTTCCAAAAGAAAAGAATCACTGGATTTATCCTCGAGACTCAAAAATTTACCCTTAAAGCACAAAGAAGTGTAAATTTAAAAGCGTTATCAAAAATATACAAAATATTTTCAGCGGTCAACAAAGGCTACAGCACTTCATCGCTTTTCACAACTGGTTTGAGTATTTTGTTAAAATTGTGACACATTTCAAAATGAGAAGTCACCCCCGTAGAAAATAAGAAATTATAAAACCAGTATCCAAAACATGCAAAATTTACGCCTCAACTACGAATTGTTAGAATTTTTGTTAGTTTTCGTGACAACTTTGAGTATTTTGTCAAAACCGATTGCAAAATTTGCAGCTTTGTGGCACCGTATTTGTCAGCAACATGCAAACACAATTGTTGAATTTCGGTTTAGATTTCCACATCCTATCACATTTTTAGCATTTTGACATGTGCAATCCCCTCTAACCCTTCAGCTTCATGAGGCCGAGCAATTCTGTGGATGCTTGACAGGCCAGACAAAATCCTAGTGACTGCTGCACACAAAATATCACTCCCAACAATCAAAACATCCATGTCAGGGAATACCCTTTACTGCCATAGGGTCCATGCTAGTCCCAGAACAGTAAGCATGCACTAAATGAGCAACAAAAGGGACATTTAGAGACGTAATTGAAAAGAAAATAACATCTCATAGAGGATTTCACTGAAAATTCTGCAGTATTTTTTTATTTTGAGCCAGGGACTTGCAAAAAGATATTCTTTTGAAATCACGCGCAACCACATTTTTAAAAATCTGACATTGATTTGACTTTACAAAAGCAAAGTGTAAAATATAACCTTGCACACACAGGATAAAGATACACTCGTAAATACGTATGCTAACATCTGATTTTATATTCCTGATCTGCAGAAGAATAGCTAGGCTGTACACCAATGCAAAACCAAACATTAAAAAACAGATTTAATAAAGAAAATATTCGACAGAGGGATGTGTGGTGGATTTTTAAGTACCAAATCCCTGTGTGTGTTTTGCTGTGTGTCCATACAGCATTGTCTTTGTGTGTGTGTTTGTGCACGTCTAGAACAACTGCATGCATTTGTGAAACTGATGAGGGATGGCAGTGCATCCTTTTGCCATAATTTTATGGAATTTAGGTGAATTAACAGCTTTGGGATGCGTCCATTTGCAGGCAGATGCTCCAGTAAATCATAGCAAGCAGTCAATTAGCCCTCTCCATCAGCCATATGAAGGCAAACACCAGGCACTGCAGCAGTCACCAAATACACAACAGACCATGTTATCTGATACAGACGTCGATCTGTGCTGTAAATAGGAATATCAACTTTTGCTGGATCACAATTAGCAAGTACAGCTCTTCTACACCTCTGTGGCTCCAATTTCAAACAAACAGAAACAGGAAAGCACAAAAATATGAATAAAAGCGATGCAACGCAGTCAAGCTTTGACATGTGCCACGCCAAATTAAAGGCAGTTTAATTCACTGTAATTTTGTAATACTCTGGTATCTACGCTGACTAAACCTTGGCCTTCGTCTGCTGCCACATTTTCACACAAACCTACAACAGAATTCAACAAAAGCTTCATGTATCTGAAATTCACCGCATTATGTAAATATTGTGTTGTGAAAATTGTGGCTGTAAATGTTGCACGCATAAATGCTGTTCTCGCTGAGACAAATGTAATAGCAGAAATGATAGGATATTTTATTCTGGGACTGTATGAAATTTTAGTGGATTATGCTTTTGAATGCAGAGCAGAACCTGAGCTTTTCTCCTGCTGTGGGCTCTGCAGAATGCAAGAAGTATCATGGAGAATGAAAACAATGCAGCACAGAGAAAATGACGACTCATTTTTCCTGTTTAGAGCAATGCATAGTTACGCTCTGATGGCTGGAGCACACCAAAGTACAGCAAATTAAAACTTCCTGAGAGATAATCCAGAACACAGTCCACTTACAGGAGCAGAGTGATTTGCGATAGCTTGAACTGACTCTGCCATTTGGAGACAAAGCTATTCTCTGCCAGCTTTGGACAAAAAGATGGGAACCACTCTCAAAATCACTAGTAATATGCTCAAAGAAGTGATATATGGCTGCTGTTTGCCATTTGTTTAAAGACATGGAGGTTTCACTTTTGTCTGGTCACTATTGAGTTAACTTCAAGCTCACAAACTTGTCTATAGCACAGGCGGCCTGAGCCAGCCAAGCACAGTGTAGGCTACAGGCCAGACGACATGCACTAGGAAAAAAAAATTACTCGACTTTGCTGTATGAAATCCAGCAGATTTGCCTGCCAAAGGCCGATTTGTTCATATAAGGAAACACTTTTCATGCATCTAGGTCATTTATGAAATTAAGCGTCTAGAGCTGCTGACACATCTACTTAAAAAGAAATGTATAAATGTGAGTTGATTACCATGTAGGATGATGCTTATGTTCTGCTCTTTTCCAACAGCATACACTCATAGAGGTGTGCATGCTACAATATTGTGATATTTCAAGGTAACGCGCATGCTCAGTTTGGAGAAGATTATGTTATAACCAATGGGCTATCCCAACGCCCAATGAGGTAATCCCGTCAGAGATAACTAAATCATCACATTAAACATAAGAGCCCTGCAGAGGAACCCCGAACACGTTATATTGAACACATATTGGCGTTTGATTATTGGAAGATATTTGTGTCCGACTCCAAACAGCAAACAACACACAGCCCACAACATACTTTTAAACAAACAATTAAATCAAAATCTCCAAAAACTTAGAATTTTTTTTTTTAAAAATCACGTTGTTGCTAAAATAAATGCACACATTCCCATATTTTCTATAATTTTATTTGATTAATATATTTTTTTAAATATGGGGATACAAATGTCACTGAGCGGAGGGGCTGCATACACGAGCGTGGTGAAAAAATGGGGGGATGACTGGCGTTAGTGAGACGAACGGTGAACAAAAAGTGCAGCTCATTAGAGCTCTGCAAAGAAAAACTTTTTCAAAACATTTTAAAAAACATTTTAATCCTGATTTTACAAAAATAAATAAATAAAAACAAATAAATAATTAAATACAAATAAATAAATAAATAAAAGCCATTTGCACTCTGCTCCTATCAGACGCGTAAAAGTTGAAAAAATGCAAAAATATAACAATAATAATGAAAAGCTATTAATCTCGCAATCCTTCCTCATATTAGTAGTTTTGATCATGAGTTTAAGACGATGCCTGACTGCAACCACCAATCATCCAATCCCACGTTTGCAAATTTAACCAAATAATTAAAAAAGTGATAATATGGCTGCAAACACACGGCGCATTACCTCAAGTGGCGTATGAAGGCTTGCACGTTTTCAACAAGGCAATAAAATATGGAGAGAGAGAGAGACAGAGAGAGAAGGAGAGAGAGAGAGAGCTTAACGGGCTGCTTGTCACTTGTGAAAGTTCAAAAAGGTCGCCATAAATCTCATACTGCAAAAACTGCAAAGGCAAACTCTGCTCCCTCTCTGTGTGTGCGCGCGTTAGTGAGTGTGTGTGTTTTTTATGTGTCTGCCCGCATAGTTCACTCTGTGTGTTCGTGCACGCGCATGCTGTGTGAGAAGAAGAGTGTGTGAGAGTGCAGAGGGGGGGGGAGTAAACTGTGGGAGAGAGAGAGGGAGAGAGGGAAAGGGAGGGGAAGAGAGAGAGAGAGAGAGAGAGAAACACGGAGCAGCAGCCTACGGAGGAAAGAAAAAGAGGAGAAGTGAATCTCATTCGTCGTTTTTGCTTCAAGAGAAGTTGTTAAGATTTCTGTATAAAACGCAAACGCAAAGTGTTGTACTAAAAAGTGTGTCCGGCTGTAAAACAAGCAGAGCTGTGCAGGTTTCTGCTGCTACAATCACATTAACAGGCCTAACAGCGAGCAGGCTGTGTTCACCACCAGAAAACTAAACGCCATGCAACCTCCACAGGCTAAATACAATAAAAAAGTGCAGATTTACGCACTCCAAGCGCACAGGCCTCTCACTAACTAAGACAGAAAAACGACGGAGAAGTTAGAAAACTCACCTTTTTCATTCTACAACTCATTCTCGAAGAAATGTTCAGGAGTGAATGCGGTAGGATGAGGGCGAAAGCAGAATGAAGGACTGATTTGAAGATTTTTTTTTTCTTTCTTTCTTTTTTTTCTTTTTTTTTTGGTCCAGATAGATCCCCCTAAAATAAAGAATGTGAGCTCCTTTCCTGGGACAGATTGAGGGGAAAAGGATGTGAAAGGCTTGGAGTTAAAAAGCGCCGCTTGAAGCACTCAGCGCGTCTCTGAACTTGATCAGATTTTATGTGTCCTGCAGCGAGTCAGCGGCAGCCCTGTGAAACTTGCTCAATGGCACGAAATTTTTTGGCTGAGCGAAAAAATTCTCAGGATATTACAATTACTGCCATCTTTCTTTCTGTCTTTTATTCCCCCGGTCTTACACCCTATAGAGCTTTTGCAAAAGGAAAAAAAAAATACCCCCCTCCCCTTTTCAAGCGGCTTCAAGAAAGCCACAGTTTGGAAGTGTGCCAAGTACATTCAAGTTTTCTGTTAATAAGAGCAAAACTGGCCAGACGAAAGAGAAAAATAACACAAAGATAGAAAGATAGATAAAAAATAGATAGATAGGGTTTTATATTTGCACATATGTGTTCTCAAACTTGAGTCTAACCTGCTCCAAAACGTTTCCAAAACTTTCAAAACTCTCCAAATAAAACAAACCAAACATGATGCTCAATACTTCATACTTGTTCCTCTTTCACCAAAAGTTAGTACGGGACCCTGCTCTCTATTCCCCACTCATGATCTTTATTTTTATTTTGTTTTTTGAGAGGGAGGTAGGGAGGGGGGTTCCTGAAGTCTGCAGCATACGTTACGCACAACACACACACATACACACACGCACACGCACAGGATCTGCGCTAGGCTGCTCCGTTATACCTGCAAAATAATGCCTGTAAGAGCCAATCAAATGAAACCAATTGAGACGACCTGCCATCTTCAATACCAAACAGTGCCAATCACCAGAAATCTAGCCAATTAACACCCTCCTTCGCGGTCACGTGTCAGAGGGGTAGCCGCGCGCTGATTGGTCGTCGTAGTACTGCCTCCCGAGTTCATTTATGTTCTGGGAGTGAGTGATTGACTTTATCAGTCCAAGGACATCATCCGCCTGGAAAGGGGGGGAAGTTTGATCCTCTTTCTCACGGATCGCAGTCAACGGGAGTTTTTTCCCTCCCAACTCTTTCACGTAGAGGATTTTTCCCCGCTTGACTTGGTGATTTTTTTTTTTATTTTAGGATTTTTTTTTGCGCAAAAACGTGGTAAATCTCTCGGCGCGGTGTCTGCAGCGTGCGCGCTCCGCGAAACTGGATTTTAATTTTCTTTTCTGTTTCCTTCCCGTCTCCTAAGTTTACTTCAAGCTCATGACTATGCTTCTTGATAGCGGTCCGCAGTTTGCAACGTTAGGAGTGGGGAGTTTCGGGACACCGCGGCACCACGACATAGGGAACAGAGACCCGAGTCTGGGACTGAATCCCTTTTCCGAATCCTCCCACTCCGCAGCTTTCAAAATCAGCCCCGTGGCTCACGATATCGCCTCCAGTCAGACTTCAGCTTTCACCCCGCAAGCCACTGGATATGCAGCTGCCCTGGGACACTCGCATGGCGGGCAGGTTGGCTCCTACGGCGGAGGGGCATTCAATTCAACACGGGACTTTCTCTTTCGGAACCGGGGCGTTGGAGAGTCCGCAGCACCCAGCGCCCAGCATGGGATCTTTGCAGCTTCGGCCGGGAGCCTCCACGGGCCGCCCGGGATCTCCGATAACCCCGGACATCTGTTGTTTCCAGGACTTCACGACCAGGGGGTAAGCCACGCTTCACCGAGCGGACATGTGGTTAATAGCCAAATGCATCTTGGCTTACGCGGGGACATTTTCGGAAGACCTGATCCGTACCGTCCGGTCGCGAGTCCTCGGACGGACCCCTACGGTGCTCAGCTGCACAATTACAGCCACCCTATCAACATGAACATGGGGATGAATGTGCCCACACACCACGGTCCGGGGGCCTTCTTCAGATACATGAGGCAACCCATCAAACAAGAATTATCCTGCAAATGGATAGACGAGAACCAGATGAACAGACCGAAAAAGACTTGCGACAGGACTTTCAGCACCATGCACGAGATGGTCACTCATGTGTCCATGGAACACGTCGGCGGCCCCGAGCAGAGCAACCACATCTGCTACTGGGAGGACTGCCCGAGAGAAGGGAAATCTTTTAAGGCCAAGTACAAACTCGTCAACCACATCCGAGTGCACACGGGCGAGAAACCGTTCCCATGCCCGTTCCCCGGATGTGGGAAAATATTCGCCCGGTCGGAAAATTTGAAAATCCACAAAAGAACACATACAGGTAAGGCTAAACCAGAAAAAGTACACCCCAAAATATCACAGCGTGTCGTGCGAAAGAGTGAGACTTAACAGTGAGCGTTTGAGAGGCTGTTTTTGGGAAGCTAAAAAAAGAGGACGTGTTTTTGTTGTTTACAAGAACCGTTAGAGAACTTGGCCCAACATTTATCCTTTTGGACATTCCCCAAAACTATTGTTAGGGTGCTTTTTCCCCCCTCTCTTTCTAATTTAAAAACGCAGGGAAAATCGTGCTTATCTTTGTGTTAAACCTCTGTCATTGTTTTACCTTTCCCCACTCAAACTTTGCGAGTGATATATAAACATTTACTGACTCACTTGTCAAACTTTAAGTGCATTAGCTGCTTTAGGCTATTTAGGTAGACTTAGGACTCTTGTGAACGTCATATACAATTACACTTAATCACTTTCTGGCTGTGTTTATAATTCTCGTCCTTGCTGTGCAGAAATGCCCTGTTGATTCAGTGTTTACTATAAGAGAAGCAGACGCACAGGAGAGGCCAGTAGTAGCATGAAGGAGCAGGCCTCTTGAATAAATAAAGCCTGACAGAGCAGTGTGTAGTAGTAGTGGAGCTGGATCCATGTCGCCCCCCGAAAATGTAGGTTACTCTGTTATATAATAGGCTGCAGACAATTTACATCTCCGGGGCTGCGGATTTTTCTTTTTCCAGGTGCTGCATTCATGGGGTTAACTCACGGTATGTGTGTGTGTCTCTCTCTCTGTGTCTCTGTGTGTGTATTTACTCCTGCAGGTGAGAAGCCGTTTAAGTGTGAATTTGATGGCTGTGACAGACGCTTCGCCAACAGCAGCGACAGGAAAAAGCACATGCACGTACACACGTCAGACAAGCCATACATCTGCAAAGTGTGCGACAAGTCCTACACGCACCCCAGCTCTCTCAGGAAACACATGAAGGTAATTAATGTCTTCATTACTCCTTAAACACATTAACACACACATACAGCTACTCTCACACTCACACACACACACACTCTCAAAACCCCACCTCCTCCTCCTCTACGACTTTCACACAACTTGAGGCATTTCTTGAGATGTTATAGCACAGTCACACTGCAAAAAAAAACTAATGCAATCTTGTCGAGGCACTTTTGGCACTTAGCTCTATAGTCGTTTGATCTCTAATGTGAAAATAGTGAGGGGCAACTGATGAATTTCCGTGTGCACAATTCAAAGATGCAGATTTTAAACTGTCCTTTACTTTGTACTTTTGGCACTTAGCTCTAGTCGTTTGATCTCTAATGTGAAAATAGTGAGGGGCAACTGATGAATTTCCGTGTGCACAATTTAAAGATGCAGATTTTAAACTGCCCTTTACTTTGTTAAAATGAAAACTTTAAATTAATGTGTGTAGGCGTTTTGGCATTTTGTTGAGGTAAACTACATTTCCACGCGTAACTTCACTGTATTTTTTCCCACTGTAGATGTAGAAGTTGCCTTCCCAGGTTGAACTTTGTTTGTTTACTGTTTTAGTTGCACTACATAATCCTGGGTTAAACCGCGTTTAAGCCTCTACCAAATCACTTTAAATACTGTTACGGTGTAAATAAAAGGGACTCCATACTCAATGTGGGCTTTTTATTTTCAGGTACATGAGTCTCAAGGATCTGAATCGTCCCCAGCAGCAAGCTCTGGATACGAGTCGTCCACACCGCCTGTGTTGGTCTCAGCCAGCACTGAAGACCCGACAAAAACACCGCCGTTAGCCGTTCAAAACACGTCTGGCCACAGCGAAGGACTGGCACCCAACTTTAACGAATGGTACGTTTGAAGTCAGCGGAAGAACAACCCCCCCACCCCCTCTCTCTCGATGTGGACCAAGAGGTTGTGGATAAAAAAAACAAACTTAAAAACTATTCCTGTTCACTTCACAGACATAAAAAACCCACACACACACTCACACACACACACTCTGTCACACATACACACAAACGGGATTGGGACAACAACAACAACAACAGGAGATGAGAGCAAACGCCAGCAGCACGCAGGCCACGTCCGTTCTCAGGATCACGAAATTTGACTTTTATTGCGCAGTTTTGAGGAAAAAAAAAACAACAACAAACAAATCACGAATAAATAAACGTAATACTTTCTCAGTATAAATAAATGTTTTTTATCTTTTAGTTTACAGAAAAATTGTTTTATTTTTCATTTTATGTATTTTCTCAAATTTTTATTTAAAAAAAAGAATAAAAAAGGAAAGATTATTTCACGCTGTTTTATATGAAGGTGACGCGCTACTGTCGCCTCTTCAATTGATTGTTGGAACTTCAAACAGTCTTAAGAAACGTGCCAAAGTCTTTGTCATGAACTTGAACACAGAAAAAAAAATCCTAAATAAATATTATACTCGTGAATGTATTTCCTTGTTTGATGGGGTCGAATCTATTGTCAACGTCCGTTTTTCAGGTGGAGAAATGTGGTATTAGGTTACGATTGTTACCGTTGAATATAACGTTGCCTTTTGTTAATACCGTTGTAAATACATATCCATGATGCCATATTTATCAATTTGTAATTTAATTATGGGTATAAGTTCTGAAACTTAAATGATATTTATGGAAATGTTTTCTAACAAGAAACTGTACAGTTTTGGTCATAACCAGCTTAACATGGAACAAATGAGAAACTCTAAAGCTCCAACATCGCGATTGTATCCTTCTGTTTTTATTTTCCTTTTAACCAATAGGCCTACATGTGTCTTATTTGGATCGAAGAAATCATCTATATGAATATTATGGATTTGTCTATATATAATGCAGATATTTCCGTCACTTTTATTTTCTTTATGAGACCATTGACATGTAAATCATTGACTTTGTAGAAACTGAGTTCAGTTGAGCTGAGAAGCTATAAAACGGTTCTGTTGATATCTTTATTTTTGGTTAAAATTTGAACTTTTTTGTGTATTTTACTTTGATAGAATCAGAAATAGATGTCAATTCGTAGCATAAACTCAGTATTGGAAAAAAAAATAATGAGAAGAAGAAGAACAAGAAAGAAGAAGAAGAAACCCATCAGCCTATTGCACTCTTACACAGGTCTTAGACGAGTCATGATTTCCAAATCAAGGTGACAGCAGCATTTTGATTCTTTCCAATCCGGGTCCAGCACCCAAATATATGCGCCAGTAAGGCTCTCTTTATAGTTCCAGCAATGTCTTTGTGCAAGTATGTTTAAATGTGTGCATCGGCAACAATGGAACTGTCTCAACACAGTATCTTCAAAAATAAAAAAAGTTTTTTGTCTGTCAGCTTGCATTGTTTTAAATGTAATTCTTCTGTGAAAACTAAGCGTGTTCTTTGTTGTGGTGTTGCATATAGAGCAGTTTGATTACACATTTGCTTGTTTTGTGTGAATAACTTGTCAAGATGACATTTTTTGTGTTTAACAAAAATTTAGTGGAAGGAATTTTAGATCTATGTGGGGGTCTTGGGGAGGGGGAGAATACGTCCAGTGGCGAAAAGAGTTACAGCATTGCATTGTAACCTATTCTCAAGAATTAAATATTATGCATACACAAAGTTTATTGTACTCGTATACGAGAACAATTTCAGACCACCAGCACTACTTTTAAAATAAAATGTAAAAAAAGGTACCTCGTGACAGTGATATATGAAATAAGTTTATTTAAATAATTTAAGGAATATATGTTTTATATGCTATTTTCTATACCTTAATTTAAAAGAAGTACTTTTCTTATTGCCACCACCTTTCTGCCCCATGTCCAGCGGTCAGAGGAAAATATCTGATGTATAAACACAGCTAGAATGTGATGTTGTAACACTTTCTGGGAGAAATGGGTCACACTCCGAGTTATTCCTGAAGAGCAAAACTGTTTTACTGATGAACTGTGTCACTGTGCCACATTGAGGCAAACCCTGTTACAACAGCAGGCCTATGCGTTAGCCTATTTAGCTGCCAGAGGCGAAGATTCCTTGTACTTTTTAGGCTACTGTATGTTGGTTGATTTGTTTTACCAACTATTTATGAAGAAATGTGAACGGAAATTTTGACTGAAATTAAAAAAACATTCTGAAAAGCGACTCCAAGACTTCCACGTTGATTATTACCATCACCATGTTGTTCTGCTCCTTGCATCTTTACGCACGAACGTGACTCTGTTTATCATGTTGTTTGTACCAGACTAGTAGGAGTCACTTGAACTTGACACTGATTAAGGCGCCATCTTAGTATCTTGGCTGTGTGTGTGAGAGAGAGTGTGTGTGTGAGTAAATGGGAATATTGAGCGAGTTAGGGAGCACTTTCTGGCGCAGAGTAAAGGGGGCTGAGATGTGGATGTGGGTCATCCGTTTATGGCTTCAAAGTTGCATAATTTTTTTCTCAATGAGGCTTAGATATTAAAAATTCTACCGTGCCCACTGGAGGACGGGCAACTGAGGACACTGTGTGACCGTGAAAGTGTAGTGGGATCGGTTGCCAAAAGTGGCGCTGCCTCAGCGTCTCCCACTGCCCGATTAACAAGGAACCGCTTCATAAAAACAACCAGAGGAGTCAGCACACATCAATGGACGCCATAATAAGCATTTAAGCGGCGAAAAAACTGTCTGAGAGACGAGAGAGGAGCTCATGCACAGGCTTGTAATCTATATTTTTGTACAGTGCCATTTATCTAATGATTTTTAAAGCAGCATCCGCGTAAATGCGGCAAAAATAGCACACACACAAGGAGTGTATAATTTAGTGTAAACTGAGGACTTTGCTGTTTTTACTCCCCTTCAGAGTCTGGAGCAGAGGAGCATTTTTACACCAACCCCCCACACGCTGCTGCCTCAACCCTCCCCATGCACACAAACACCCCCACCAATATCCCTCAACTATAAACAGATTTAGGAATATTGATTCAAATTCTGCTTTTGACTTTTTGCGCAAGCGCACCTCTTGCATTCCGTTTGATTTCATTTCTTTTCACCCCCCTCATCTCTCTCCTCTATTCCCCATCCCATATCACCCTCCCTCCTTTTCTCTCTCTCTGCCTCTCTGCCTCCCTCCCTCTCCTCTTCTTCTACCCGGCTCGTCTAGTCGCACATTTCAAGTTCCCCCTCTCTCTACTGAGACACCGTGACGTCAAATAACCGAGACCCGGCTTTCTCCCTCCTGAGCACGGCGCGCTGAGGGCGCACATGGAGGCATCTGGGATGTTGCTAGACAGCGTGGCGGCCGCATTAGTTGATCATTACGAGAGAAGGAGCAAAAATATGACGGTGAAATTAATAAAGCGTCGATTTATTTACATTTAACGTGAAGCTAGCGTGCTCTTGTTTTCCATTACATCAGATTACGGCGCATTACATCAGTAGTTCAACTCATTTTAAACCGGGTGGGTCATCTGCTAATAAAACAGCAGGTTTTTTTCTCTGACTCTAGGTTTGTTTACTCTCCACTGGGAGCATCCCGCGTTATTTCCCGAGCAAGAGGCGCTTTATGCTGACGCCCAATTCAAGTCATCGTTTCCAGATATATGAGAAAACCAGAGCAGGCGATTCAATCCAGAGAAGGAGGAGAGAGAAAAAAAAACATGAAAGGCTCCTTTCTGCTGGATTCTCAATGGATTAGAAAGCAGTGACGGTCACGTGGATGCAGTTGTGTAAAGACTAGCGGCTGGATCACAACAATGCCCCCCCCCCCCCTCCCTCTCTCTCCCTCTCTCACTCTGCAGCAGTAGACTACAACTGGCTCTGCATTACGTGGACGCTCATTCATCCCAAATTATCCTATGGATTGCTAAACTTGGCCGCGGTATATGCAGCTGACTGTTGGCAGCGCGCGGTAGCCTCTAATCTCTCTCTGCCTATAGGAGCTGCGCGTAAAAAGGGGTATCCGATGGAAAGAGAGGGGAGTTAGGGGTGCGGGAAGACAGGGCTAAGTTGCACTTTTGGCGTGCGCCTGTCGCCAAAGTTTGGTATCGGATTGATTGGTCAACCTTTTTTTAGTATGTGATCCTCTGTCTTCTCCAAGGAAGAGTGTTTTCTGGCTCAGAGAGCGCGCGCTCTAAGAGGATAAAGTGACACAATCAGGTCCCCAACGACTTTTGTCACGCAACCCTTGCTGAGATATTTTTAAGAAAGACAACCTACTATTTATTACTTATCAATTATTCAATAGATATCCCACCAAATATCTAAAAAACCTCTTCACAATAAATCAAAGTAGAGTGTTTATATTTTGGCAGGTTTAAAGCGATCAGAGACTGAAGGTGCGGAGGGTGCGTGGACCTGCTAAAGGATACACTTGGCCCCTTATCTGAATCAGTGACCTTTTTGGAGTAAGCTGGCCCTTGAATGAGCACGTGACCATAACGTGCAGTCTGTGACAACAGGCAGCATGACCAGACTCCTCACAACACCGCTTTTTAATGGACAAACAGCTGCCAAAACGTTGTGATAGGATCATGACTTATGACATTCAGTGAGAAAAAAGCGGGGTCTCCCTCCTGCGCAAGAGTTAAAGTGGATCTTTTAAAAAAATATATAGTTGTTGCTTTAATTAAAACATGAAAACTGCTCGTGTTTTCTCACTATAATAACATCCATCAAATAAATACGCAACAAAAGCGAAAATAGGAAGGAAAACACGACCTGATAAATCAACAAAGTGCTCCCATTTGCGCGGAAGTGGCTCGCCAATTATCGATGCTTATTTCACCTCCAGCAGGGTGTTGAATGTGCATTGACAAAGTTAATCCACGGTGTGCTTTTATATCTTAACGTGCTGCATGGCTTTTGTGATGCAAGCTGATTAACACAATGGCTTTGTCTTTGAGTTCAATTATTCTTCAATTGAGCTCTATGAGGCATTTACATGCCACATCATACTGTATATGCTGTAGCCTGCAGGCGTCTCTGCTGACGAGGAAACGAGTGAAAGTGAATGGATCGTTAATGGTGGAACAAAGTTAGTGTTTGGGGTCAGTTTACAGAGCGGTTTCAAGGCAGTCAAGGGCACGGTTTGAGCCTCTGCGCAGTAAATAAAAGTAATAGGAAGATTAGTGGAAGACACAACTCCCTGCTCCCAAAATGGCATTTCAGTTTTGTGGTTTGTAACCGATGTCCAGCAGGAGCCTCACCGATCCTGCAACATCTGGCGAGGTGTCAGAAACTTGATGAATTCCTTATCAGAGCACGCGCACGAATTAACACTAATAGGTCCCGAGTGAGGACTCAGCCAAGCGCCCACTCAGCAAAGCAGATGTTCGCCAATTGTGCCTCGCGTTTGTCTTTTGACAGATATATTTCAACACTTATAAGAAGGTGGTAAATGAGCGATTTGACGTCCTTTTAATGGCCCGTTGGTTTGCCCTAAACGATACGGTGAGGAGGGAGGGAGCTGATCCATCCAAACTGAGAAGTATCTCAGAGGAGGAGTGCGCGGTGTATTTATGAAACACTGAACTGGAGGTTTGTAATGTGGAGGTTTGGAGATTGAGTGGATATTAAACTTTCGATACCGTTCACTAAAACAACTGCACACGCGTGTTTTTGGCTGTAATATCACCCACACAATCGACAAAAATCAGGTTGTGATTCAGCACCTCTAACAAACTTTTACCTGAGATCTCCCCTCATCCCGGGACACCCTCCTCCTCTCTCTCTCTTCCCTCACAGGAAGGCTTTCCCCCTGAGGAGACGAACAGGAGCGCTCTCATATTCATTAGCCTTTCAAAATAAAGAGGACAATGCTCGTTAATGTCCTTTTTTTCTAAAGACAATGAATTAGAATAGCTGCTTTTCCATTATTTAAGGATTTCATTCATCGCCTCAACTCGTTGTGCCTTTTTCTCCGCGCTTGCGCACAGCTCTGATTCGAGCTCTCCTCAGCTCCCACATCAGACACTTGGGGGAAATATCACCATCCACATGTTGCGCCGTGACGACTACTTGAAACATAAATGAATGCATTTCTGTTTTTAGATGTATATACAGATGAGCAGATGGAGAACGTGAATGAACCGGCGATAAACAAGCGAACCGCCAGGCGCATGTGCTCCTTACAAAAACAAATAGAAACGTGTCATCCCTACTGCGCAACAAGGAATAGAAGTAGCCTATATCTCTTACACAATTCCGATTTGTGTCCCAGAAATGCCAATCAACGCGAGAAAAGGAAAGCTTTGGTTGCATAATGTTTGCGCAATCTTTAATCCGTTATGGATAAATGCATGAGGCAGGGAGAGCACCATGAATAACAATCCGCCTGATCCCCAAAACACGCGTGTGTGTACGTATTACTCCTGGCAACACATAAACAATGAACTATCACATATTTCTTTGTATATATTTTCTAATATATCACATCATGTAAGCATTAATTAATATGCATATTTAGCCCAAGAAAGGTTTGGGGGCTTGATCCACATGGAGCTAAATTTCAGGATACTAGTTCAAAAATTATCTTTATGTTAGAAATAGATGAGAACATCATCCTCAAGCCATTCATTAGTAATAAATTTGAAACACAAGCATGTTTACAATGCTTGTTTCTTATTTGTCTTTCATTTACCACATCCCCATGATCTATAAATAACACTGGCTCCATGTGTAATCATTAGATAAACACACATTAGTGGCAGCTGATTGCCACCTTCTCCAACAACACTGGACTCATTATTTCCTCAAACATTAACAGTTTTCAGAGAGATGAACAGACCTGTTATGATTCAGAAAGCATGGTGCTACATTGACACCTTCTGTGAAACCCAATACACTTCAACATTCGTGCACAGATAACTTTTTTGCAAGTGCTGCCTTACGCATGGTAGGATGTAAAATCAAGGGAGGAAAAAAGGACTGAAAAGGCACCAAAAAAGTAGAAATCAAAACAATTTTAAAAATGATGTTTGGTAAGAGACAACATGGTATATTCACTGTTTTAGATGTTACAATAACAGACTTAAAGAAACCCAATTAGCAGAATTTTGTGAATGGTACAACTCCTGAGTGTCAAATGTAAAGCAGTTCAGTTACAGGCTGTAAACAAACACTGCTGTCCTGCCAAGGTTAGAGCATTTTAGATGACCACAGCCATCC